ATAAATACAGAAGAAATAAGAGACGTTGCCAAAGACTTATCCCAGGCTAGTCACATAGGTGAGTTCTTTCAAGCTTTCCTGGACTAAATCATTCAAATACTGCATATATGGTACAGAACACAGAAAAAGAGGGAATGTTACCTAATTTATTTTACAAAGTCAGCATAACTTTGACACCCAAATTCAACAAAAAAATAGATTTGGAAAATTCTAAATGAAATATTAGCCTAGCAAATCTTGTAGTATATTAAAACAACAATACACCATAATCAAGTAGAATTCAATCCAAAAATGTTTCAAAGTTACGAAACAGTTTATTATATCAACAGATCAACAGAGAAACGCAACATGGTATCTACAGATATCAAAAAAACATTTCATAAAATTCTAACTCCAATCCTGATTTTAAAGTCTTATGTAAACTAGGTATAAATACTTCATTTATTTAAAAAAATCTCAACTGAAAAATGATTTGCAACCATACTTAAAAGTAAACCAGAAACAAGACAAGATTTCTGTTATCAATAATACAATGTTTTAGAAGATCTAGCCAAAGGAAAAGAAATAGATGAGATAAAATGACAGACAAAAATTGCATTATATATAGATATGAATCACTCTTTTTTTTTTTTTTTTTTTTTTTTTTTTTTTTTTTTTTTTTTTTTGAGACGGAGTTTTGCTCTTGTCGCCCAGGCTGGAGTCCAGTGGCACGATCTTGGCTCACTGCAACCTCCGCCTCCCGGGTTCAAGTGATTCTCCTGCCTCAGCCTCCAGAGTAGCTGGGATTACAGGCACCCACCACCACGCCCAGCTAATTTTTTTGTATTTTTGGTAGAGACGGGGTTTCACCATGTTGGGCAGGCTGGTCTCAAACCCCTGACCTCAGGTGATCCACCCACCTCGGCCTCCCAAAGTGCTGGGATTACAGGCATGAGCCACCATGCCCAGCCATGAATGACTCTTTACCTAGAAATTCCAAAACACTCAACTAGAAACTTGCAGAACAAATTAGAGAATTCAGTGAGATGAACAGTAACAATATATAGACACTTCCCTACATACCAATAACAACCAGTTACAAAATATAAAGAAAGTGGATCAAATTCACAATAGAAGCCACACTTAATTTCCTGAAATAAAAGTAACAAATTGTGAATCTATCAAATTTGACAACTTATGAATATATATGTATACATAAAGCTGCAAAATATCATGCAAAGCCTGTTTCAAAAAATATTAACTCTCTTTAAATTAACTGACAGCTTTATAAAGTTCCACACAATATCCATAAAGAATGTTTTTAACTTTACAATATCACTACAGTTCATCTGAAAGAATATACAAATAAGACTAACGGAGAAAATCTTGACAAATAAGAATTAAGGAAGACTATTGCTACTGAGTAATAACACATTTTAATAATACAATAAACTAAAATAAAGCAATGACAAACCAATGGATAATAGAAAACCAGAACAAGAACCCAAACTATAAAAGTATCTAGCATGTAGTAAATGTGGAAGTGGAACAATTAGTTATTTCTCACAATAATTAAGTTGATAAGTAAAGATTCAAATATAAAAGATGAAATCATGAAAGAACAAAAAAAAATTAAAGTTCAGTTTGGGAAAGGACTTTCTGAGCCAAAAGAAAAACGCAAGTGAAGAAATTGTAAGGAAAAATTAATGATAAATTTTTAGAACATAGTAATTTTTAAAATAAAAAATAATTTATGAACAAAATGGAATGGCAAATGAAAAAGTGGGGGATCCAGGTAACATATGACAGAAAAAGAGTTACTATTCTTGTTAAAAAAAGGTCTTACAAAATCAAAATAAAAAATGAACACACCTATAGAGCAAAATGGGTAAACGATTTCCAGTTCAAAGTGGTAAACTGAATGAAGCTTGCCTACTCTGCAGGGAGAAAAAAATTTCAAAAGACCTATTATTAATATTATCAGAGATATTAAAGAAGCAATTGCACTCATAAAACAAAATGCTATATAATATTTAGAATATAATTTAAAAATTAAAAATTAGAAATATGAAAGCAGAAATGAAAATAAGTTAAAACATGAAGGTAGGGAAATCCTTCTTAGAAACAGAACATGAATAATAAAAGTTAAAAATCAAAGGAAAAATAGGGAAATATTAGAAAACTAGTCAGGAGTTCCAACATACAAACAATAGTAATGCTAGGAAGAGAGGCTGGGCGTGGTGGTTCATGCCTGTAATCCTAGCACTTTGGGAGGCCAAGGTGGGTGAATCACTTGAGGTCAGGAGTTCAAGACCAGCCTGACCAATATGATGAAACCCCATCTCTACCATAAATACACATATTAGCCAGGTGTGGTGGCACACGCCTATAATCCTAGCTACTTGGGAGGCTGAGGCAGGAGAATTGCTTGAGCCTAGGAGGCAGAGGTTGCAGTGGGCCAAGATTGTACCACTACACTCCTGCCTGGGCAACAGAGTGAAACTCCATCCAAAAAAAAAAAAAAAAGGGTTGGGGGGAGAAAAGAAAAAGAAAAGAAAAGAAAGAAAAAAAAGAAGGAAATGCTAGGAAGAGAAAACAAATATGAGGAAATGATCCAACCAGTTGTTCAAGACAAGTTTCTAGAACTGAAGGACAAGTGTCTTCAGGCTAAAAGAACCTGGAAAAATGGACAAACATAGATGTACATCAATACACAAACGCATGACATTTTAAGACATTGGAAGACAGCAAGAAAGTTCTACAAGTTCCAGAAAGGAAGAAAAAAAAAATCACATAGAAGGGATGAGGCATCACAAAGACTTCAGACATCTCACCAATAACACTGAAAGCCACAAGATAATGATTTGTTCTTTCAAAATCTGAGCCAAAATTTAAAAAAAAAAAGGTTTCCAACGTTGAATTCTATACTCAGCCAATCTTTCAATGTCAGTGTGGGCTAGATACTTTCCTTTTTAGATGTGAAAGAGCTCTAAAAACTTACCTTCCATTAAGCATTTCTACAGAAACTGCTAGAGGATGCACTCTAGCAAAACAAAGGAGTAAACCAAAAAGGATGATAACATGAATCTACAAAAGTAGGCAATCTACAAAATCCAGCTAAAGAGAGAGGATCAAAGGAATCCTCAGAAGGAGAATGTGAAAGATATTCCAAGATGGTATCCAGAACCCTAAAGATCACCCAGTTCATAACAAACCGGCCAGAAGGCTCTGGGAAGACATTTCTAGATAGGACAAAACACATTTTTAAAAAAATTAAAAATAATGTGTTTGAATATGTTGAGAGGCTAGGGATAAATCAGCTAGGCTCACAAAAAAACTAACCAATCAAAGAGAAAAAAAATACAAGATAATTACTAACTCCAAGAGAAAAAATAGTCGTGAAGGAAAGGTAAATTGTAGTGCTAACGCTCAGATTTCAGGGGTGCTTACACTCTCATAAAAAGGTGAACTATGAATTTGGATCAAGCACGAACTATGTACTAAATATATTGAGGATGGTGCACAGAAAGAAGGGAGGAGGGGGCGGTGAGGCCAAGGAGTCAAATCCTCATCTTCTACAGTTATAAAGTCACGATAATGCCTAAGCCTCAAAAAAGAAAAAGAAAATCAAGAAGTAGAAGAGAAAAACAATGTTACTTAGATATTCGGATGTAAATGTCAAGAGAAACAGTTAAAGGAGTTAAAAACTATTGCTTCCGTTAAGCAGAAAATTAGGGTGGAGTTGGGAGAGTTGGAAGCCTGCTGCTCTACAACCATCTTGAAACAATGCATATGCATGACTTTGACAAAAGTAAAAACTAAATGAAAAATGAAAAAAAAACCTGAACTGGCAATTCAGATACAGATAACCAAAAGAGACAGGGGGAAATGTTTTTTATCACAGGTAATAAAAGAACTGCCAACGAAAAGAACGAAATACTGTGTTTTGACAAATTGGCAAAGGTGAACAACCTTGATAATTCCCAGAGAAACAGGCACTTTTCAAACTAATTCTGAGAATGTAAGCTGATACAAGCTTTAAGAGGGCAATTTGGCCATAAAACGCTCACACCTTTTGACACAGAATGAACTGCAGAAAGTGAGCCAGACACGTATATGACGATGAATAAACAAAGATGTCCTTCCCCATTTGCGCAATTCAACTTCTAAATGGATCTAAATATTCAATAAAAGCAAACCAATTAATTACAATAGAGCCATTTGCTAGAACCCTATGTAACCATTAAAAAGCACAAGATAAGAAATTGCTTAATGGCTTGGGAAATGTTCAGGATATATAATTAGTGGAAATAGAAGACAGGATGGCAATGATAAACTCAATTAAGCACACACAGACACGTACACACCTAATTTATAGAAAAAAACAAAAGGCCGAGGCTGGCCACCAAAACGTTGGCAATGGTGATCTGTGAGTGGGGGAACTAGGGAGAGTCTTGCTCTTACACTTGTTCTTTTCAATATTTTTCAAGCTCTGTATAATAAACATATATTTCTTTTTTAATAGGAAAAATATTTTTTAAAATTATGTGCAATAAAAGTCAGCCATTAGCTTAGGTTATTTTATGGGGAAAACATACATGACCCCTGCTTATTGCACTCTCCATTACGGTAATGAGTTAATAGAATGCAATTAGCTACATAATTTTTAAAAGAGCCTTCGGGCAGGGATGTGAAGGTTACCCTGGGCCCCATCTCAAGCTGGCATCTGGTCAGCTGCAAAGTAACACGACTCCCACCTCTTAGGTGGGACCAGAGATGAGGGACTTCTCTAGCCAGCCCTTCCCTCCACTCAGAGAAGCAGCTGTTAGAAATGACCCAGCCTCTGCTTGCTCATGTTCTTGGTGAGAAGCACGTGCATGCCAGCCCCTCTCTGAGGCCATCGCAGGCACTCCAGCCTGTCACAAAGCCCATCTCTGATCGCCTATCATCTAGTCCGAATTTGGCCCTTAGTCACAGGTACACAAGTATTTCCGAGTGTAACCAGGAAAAGCAGAGCTTACCCAGCAACGCACACGCTGAGCCCATCACGGTTGTCCTCTTGGAAGCCTGGCTCAGGCCACTGCACCTTCACAGGCTCTGGGCAGGACGACCTTCCGAGACAAGAGGGACAAGTCACACAACCTGCCCAATCACATGACTTATTGACAAGGCAGGGGGACCTGCCACAGTCACTGAGAGGGTACTTTGGGAATGGCAAGTCGGGTCAGAGCCGGCTCCTGCCTCCAGATACTGGGAAGTCAATGCAAAATGGACAACTACGGAACTGCACACGGGGAGTGATGAACGGGGCACTTGAACAGGTCTGGAGAAGGGCTGGGGGTTTCGAGGAGATCTTGAGACTGACAGACATGATGGAGGTGACAGAACTGAGGAATTACAAGTAAGGCTGGAGCAAGAGAGGAAAAGGAAAGGACACGGGGCCAATGAGATGGCGTGGCTTGGTGCACCCTGGAGCCCACCGGGGGGTTTAAGTGGCGCCGGTTATGCATGCATGTCACCCACAGGATACAGCCAGAGACGAGGCAAGCAAGCAGAGGGCATCCAATGGAGCCAGACAGGGAGGATGAGGCCCGACCAGGCAGGGGCAACTGGAAGGAAGTGAGGAGGAGAGGCATTCAGGGTGTCGTGCTGATGGGAGTCGGTGATGGATTGCTCCTGGAGGGTGCAGGGGAGGAAGAAGATGCAGCAGACCTTGGTTTCAGGATTACTGAGGCCATTCATCAAGATAAAGGAACTTGGGGGAAGGAGGGTGTACAGGTTTGGCCAAGTAGAGCAATGCATTGAGGTTTAGACCAGTCAAGTTATTGCTATTGTTATTATTACTATCATTGTCCTCAAACTCAGATATACACAGAATTGGACTGATTGTAGTCTTTATTCTGACACCAGTCAACATGAGTCCATAAGTGGCTCTATTTTAGTATCTTCATTTAACTTTTTAAGGATTCAGTGCCCATGGATAAGCCCAGCCTCCAACCCGGAACTAGAACAGTAACTATAACTGACATCCACCTGGGTCTTCTCCCTGTGCTGGGTCAACGTCCCACACAGCCAGGTGGGTCTGGGGCTTCCCGCTGGCTCTTCCATCTGAGGCTCTGATAGCCACTGGCTATGACCTGATCCTGGATTCAGGAGCTGTGCTTTGCCTATTCACTGCCTTGCTCATATCAGTAGAGTTCCTTCCATACCAATCTTGGCCCAGGGACTGACTCAGCCAGGCTCTCCTTGCTGGAAAAGAAATGGGCTGGTATTAATAGCAGATGAGTACCCAACAGGGGCTGTCCCTGAGGTCTTGGACGCAGGAATTTGGAGGCAAGCGAGCGGGTACCAAAGGCAAGGCTCTAAGGTTGGGGATGAGGCAGCTGAGAGCGGCCCCTGCACCCACACCAGAGAAAGAAGACGGCATTCTGTTGGCTGGGCCAGGAGCAAGGCTCTCAGCTCTGCAGCCCATATGTTCCGTGCATTTGGAAACATGCTGTTCGGGGTGACTGTCAGGAGCAGGAAAGGAGCTTTCCAGATGCTTTGCTGCAGGGCTTTATGAAAAATCACCAATTGGTCAACTTGGCCAGGAAAGTTTGGTAAGCTCTTTCATCCTGCTGAGCAAACAGTGAACATGTGCTGCAGTGCTCTCCGGACGGGGGCCTGCTCGTGAAAGGGGCCCTGACCCAAGCAAACAGATGGGAGACGAGGCAACCAGCCTCTGCAGACAGAGCCGCTGCCAGCTTCTGCTTCAATCCCCTACCTGTGTGTCCCGGGGGCAGTGAGCAGTACTGGAGGCAGGTATGCGGACGCGAGATGCACCCCAGACTTGGCGCAGGCCTAGGCTGTCTGCATTCATCTGAGCCTCAGTTTCCTTCTCTGTAAGGAAGGCCAGTGACACCCCCCTGCAGCACTGGCAGGCTTCAGCAAGGTGGCCGGTGTGGCAGCACAGACTCCACTCGTGTCAGGGAAGCAGGGAGGGAGGGAGGGACAGCTCCCTGGGGGTCCCGCAGGGTTGGGCTGGGGAACTCGAAGGACCTCTGCCTCCCTTGTTTCCAGCTCACAAGGCTCATTTTTTTTTCTTTCTTCTTTTTTTAGAGATAGGACCTTGCTCTGTCACCCAGGCTGGAGTACAGTGGCACAAAGCCATACTAGAAGTCAGGGTAGAGGGGCATCCCGAGGGCCTCCTGAGTAGCTGGGACCACAGGTGTGCACCAACACACCCAGCTCATCTTTTTATTTTTTTGTAGGGATGGGGTCTTGCTATGTTACCCAGGTTGGTCTCTTGGCCTCAAGCTGTCCTCCCATATGGGTCTCCCAAAGCACTGGGATTACAGGCATGAGCCACCACACCTGGCCCTCACAAGTCTCTTTTCTTAAGGCTCAATTCCACTCCAGAAAACCAACTAGCAAGGCTTGATTTCCTGCTTACCCCAGCCCTTGTCACACACCCCACTCTGTCTCTTCTTCCTCACAATACAAATCCAAACCCAAGCCACACAGCCACAGTGCCCGAGAAAGGATGGCAAGGAGGAAGTCTGGGAGGTGAAGCCAGGAGACCTTTATTGCAGCAGCGTGTGACCACAGGGCCCCGGGTGGCCCTTGGCACCCAACTCCATGGCTTTAGAGGGGTTGCTGCTACCTTTGGGACCCCTCCCCTCCAATATGGCTTCTCTAACTCTGATGAGCACCCACCAGCTGAGTAAACAGCTGAGCAAACAGCTGAGCCAAGGAACATGACCCACAGTTCACTGGGGTATTAAATCTCTAGATTTGTGGCCTGCAGAGCAGTGGGGTTTTGCAGGGAGCAGGGGGTGGGGGGTGATGCAAAGGGAATGTATAGCACAGCTGCGTGCAAATGAGGGGGCCAGGGACCAGGGTCGCAGAGGAGGACAGGGGAACCCCGGGACACAGGGAGTCAGTTAAGCAGCCCTTTATGAAGTCTGAACTCTGGCTTGGGTTCCCCAGAGAACCCCACAGGAGAGTCCATCAATAAATGAAGCCAGGAGCCCAGCAGCAACGGGGTGGGGGTAGGGGTGGGCAGCTGAAGGAAGGGAGGCCACAGGAGGGACACATGTGCCCAGGATGGTCTTTGTCCCCTCTGAGTGGCTGCCAGCAACCCCGACTGGCAGGGGGCTGGCCGGGGTCACCAGCTGCTGCTGATACCAGAAACGTCTGGCAGGGATGGGGTTCAGCCCCCGCTGCAGGAGCAGGGCTGTCTTATTTTTTTTACCCCCCAAGACGGAGTCTCGCTCTTGTTGCCCGGGCTGGGGTGCAATGGCGTGATCTCAGCTCACTGCAACCTCCAGCTCCCGGGTTCAAACGATTCTCCTGCCTCAGCCTCCTGAGTAGCTGGGATTACAGGCGCGTGCCACCATGCCCAGCTAATTTTTTGTATTTTTAGTAGAGATGGGGTTTCACGATGTTGGTCAGGCTGGTCTCGAACTCCTGACTTTGTCATCCACCTGCCTCGGCCTCCCAAACTGCTGGGATGACAGGCATGAGCCACCCCGCCTGGCCCAGGGCTTTTATTTTGTCATGTTGAAAAAACACGTGCTGGTAGGCGAAGCCTCAGATCCAAGGACAAAGAAAATATCACCAAATAGCCCCCAAATTACAATGAGGATCAGGAGCCTGGAAGGACGGGGTAGAGGTGAGTGGGGATCAGAATGGAAACATCTTTTCTCTCTGTAGCGGACAATGTGGTGAGGGCAAGGGACTGGCGCCATCCTCCCTCTTCCCATTTCACAGATGGGAAACAACCTGAGCTGGGCTGTCATCGGCTCCGTCTAAAGGCTCCAATGAAGGCAGGGAGGAAATGTCTCTCTTCAAGAAGGTCATCAGAGGACACTGAGGTCCCCTTCAGGCTGGAGAAGCAGGTGGAGAGAACACGTGAATGCCCCAAGGCCAGCGTGGCTCACCCCACAAGGAGGAGAGTGACTCCTTCCACGTGCGGGGGCTGCGGGGCCTTTGGGGTTTCACGAAATGCCTTCCTGTGTGCACAGGCAGATGCTCACCTCCGACCGGGAGTGAACCCCTGAGTTCTCCCAGCGCGGTCTCCGGCTGAAGGACCATGTACGTGCTCCACGGGGGCAGGGCCGCACACATGTGCTCGTCATCAGTGCATACCATGGCACACACCAAGAGTTTTACAGAATAAACAAATGCAATGCACTTCCCTTTTACAGCTGAGGGGCACGAAACTTAGATGGTTCCGGGAACTTAACCAAGAACAGAGACCAGTATCTTCCTGGCAGAGAAAAGACAAAAGAAATCAAAAGAGAATAAGACATCTCGAATCCTCCTGTCCCAGGGGTCAGTCCAGATCTAGTGTCCACCCACTGAGGACAGCAGGGGCATAGGGACAGCCAGTTGTGAGGACACCAGCACTGAGAACCTGGCATCCGGGCACCCTAACCCTTTGTTTTCTGCCATCCCCCCAGCCCACTGCATCTGTGATCCTTGGTCACTGCTCTGTGTGGCAAGTGCCTGGATGCCTGCAGAGAGCACTGAACATTGAGTCAGAGCTGCCTGGGCCCTAATCGTGGATGGGATGGGCCCCGGGTCTCAGTTTCCTTGTTTGCACAATGAGGAACTGACATCACCCACCCGGGACATTCCCCAGATGAAAGGGGAACTGCTGCCTCTGCCTGGCACACAATAGGCATGATATAATTTTCCTTTCATTCTCCCCAGTGTCAGGGTCCACCCAGCGCCTGCTCCCTGGGAGAAAGGTCAGCCTCCAGCCACTCCACCCTCTGAGCGGGACTGCACGATTGCTGGCCCTGGCCCTGAGTTCCCTCTCCTCCCAACGTGGGCCAAAGCTCCCATCCCACCTAGTGCCTGCACACTTGTCCCATCCATTTCAAGATCAAATCAAGCTCCCTTCTGGGAGGGAGGCTTTGGGAGGGTTGGAGCCTTCGACCAAAGGCTCAAAAGAAGAGCTAAAAAGGATGGCCAAGTTCACTCAAGTTTCGTCAGAGAAGCAAAACCAGACCTCAGAATTCTGTCTCACAAACCATCAGCCTAGGTTTATTTTCAATCTTCCCTTCCCTTCTTTGGAAGGAGGCCCCCGCGACCCCCACAAGCCAGACTCAGCTCTGGCCAGTGGCCACAGGGTTTCAAATTTCGAAAGGGGCCTTTTGCAAAACGTTCAGTTTCAAGCCCTAGTTCGATTGCCCACATCCTGTCCAAGCTTCCTAGGGGAGTGAGATTTATTTAAGAGAGGAATAAAATCCCCATGTCCATGCCATTGAGTGAAAACATGCTCTGTCCCAGGCAATTTCAAGGATTAAGGTTACATATCTCTTAATGAGTCGCAGGTGGAAGGCAAAGTGGAGTTGGCTGGAGAAGGAGGTGATATTCCGCCATGCCAGTGAACCCAGTTCTCCACCAGGGATATAATTTGTGCCCCAGTATGACGGTACAACTATCCTTTTGTGCATCCACTCATTCCTTCATTCAACTGACGTTCTTAATGATCGGCCCCTCTGCACTGGGGTCTGTACGGGACAGTGGCGGAGTCTGAGATGACCAGGACAGAGCACCTATACTCAGGGAGCCGAAGGTCTGGTTGTGGAAGCAGACACCTAAACAAATCATGACCAAGCAACAAATGTTATGAATGAAGTGTCAAGTTCATGACCACGCAATAGTTCAGAGTGTGGGGCAGCATAGCCCACCATGGGGAGAGAAGCAAGAGCAGTCTTGCATCCATGGAGCAGTGGGAGGGTGGCCACAGAGAGGGATTCAGGGGCAAAGGCACAGGAGACCCGGGGAGGCTCTGCCAGGCAGCACACAAGGGCAGGGGGCATGTAGTGGGAGGCATAGCAGGAGGCCAAGGAGCTGGGGCTCCATCCTGGGGACTATGGGAGCCATGAGCGGGCATCCAGGAGCAGGGACTCTGGGGCATGCATTCTAGAAAGGCTGCTCTAACTCCACCTCCCAGGAAGAGAACAGAGTGGAGGTGGGAGCAGAAAGACCAGCCCAAGATGAGGGAAGCCTGGGTGGCATGGTGGTGCAGATGAGAAGAGGGACCTGCGGGCTCACTGGGGGTTCTACAGAGGAGGGATGGGTGCCTGGGTGGAGACTGAACAACAAAGGCAGAAGGAGGAGGCAGCAGGGATGGTGCTTGGAACAGCGCATGCCCAGTGGCCCAGCTGCCTGCAGGATATCACTGTTTCTCAGGCAACCACTTTAAGAAACTCAGAACTGCAGTGGAGGAAAAAGAAAAGGTCAACTCATATTCCAGTCTACCTTTAGTTTGTCATTTGGCAAAATATCTGAGAGAAATACTTGGAAGTTGACAGGGAAGACTAAACCCTGACACTCAGCAGGGACTTTGTTAACAGGTGAGGGGCTTGAGCAAAGGGCAGGGTTCGACGGCTCACAACCGCCCAGGTCATTATCAAGCAGAACTCAAGTAACAGCCAAGCATAAACCCCCAGGTCCAGTCATTCCTCTTTCCTCCTAGATGTCCAAACACCCCACGGACCTGAGCCCAGGGAGCCAAAGCCACTGGCCATCTCTGACCATGGCTAGAGTTCTGTCCTTCTCTCAGGCTCTCCTCAAAGCCAAGGAGAGAAGCAAGGGGAACATCAGGACCAACCCAGCTGGCCGAGCAAATGACGGTCCCCAGAGCCATGGCTTCATAGCACTTATCACAAGTGTAATTAAATTCTTTTGCCAGAAACATTTGCTTAGAATCTCTCACCCAAGACTTGGAGCTCTATAAGGGCAGAGGTGGTGTCTGTCTTACTTCTTGTAAGATAGATTACTTACTTCTACCACCCAGCCTGTGGCACACAGAAAGGGCCCAACACCTTTTGTATAAATGAATGACTGGATGAACACCTAATTCACCTAACATTTCCTGATGTCTAGACCTTCTGTGGATTATAATGACATAAAAAGAACACCTGCCTCAAGAAGTTCATAGCCCTTTGGGATAAATTGGCAGCTCATAGCAGACAATGTGATGTGGGTTCTGGTGTGGGTATGGAGGAGTGAGGAAGGGCAGATGTGAACAGAGGACTGTGGGAAGGAAGCTAGGGGAGAGGGCGGGGGGCTGTGAAGATAGAAGAGGGGGTGACATGTGTGTCAGGCCCAGCACAGGCTGAGTAACCAGTGGGAGGGATGGGAAAACTAAATTAATTGCAAGTTGCTGAATGTTGAAAGGTCGTTTTGCCTCATTATTCAAGGAATTCAGTGGACGGGGGGCAGTGACAACCTAACTCCTCTCTCCTAGACCAGCTTTCAGACCAAGCAAATCTCAGAGTCTAGCCCTTGAATCTCACAGCCTTCTGTGCTGACGCTGACGCCCAACCCCAGCATTCAGAGGTCACCCTGCCACCAACGCAGCCTAAGCTCCTCTTATAAGGGGCTGAAGCTTGCCCAGATGGAAAACGGCTGACCTAGAAGAGTCAGAATAGGGGTCCCTGATGCCCCGAATTAAGAAGGGGGAGTCTACCTGATGTGCTCTGAAGTAGGAAGCCCAAATCAAGTCCTCACGAAGGAGAGGGCAGTATTCACAACAGATGACCAAGAACCAATCGCCAAGTTCAAAGGAAGGACGTGAGAACAGCAGTGAGAGATGAAATCCAGGGTCAGGAGCCAGCCAAGACAAGAGAAGACAAGAAATGGTCAGTGTGAGGCATACAGTGGGCCCTGAATACCTATATGTCGAATGAAGGAAGGGAGGGAAGGGTAGAGAAATGAAGGGTGGGTCTCGTGTATGTGTCCTACATAGAGCGTGGATATTGCCAACTCATTTTTCTGGTTGACTGTTCCCTGGTAGAAGGGCATGCCACGCCATCTTGAAGGTCTGGACTGACCCAGAATACCATCCAGACTGGCATTCTTCCTAGAACTCAGTTGAACTCTCCAATCTTCTGGAAGAGGGGAATTTGAGTATCACATCCATTTGAGAGCTTTTAAATTAATGCATTTGAAATCATCAAATATAGCTACGTTGGGTGGGGATGAAGAAAATTGGCATGTAACATTTCTGAAACATCTGTTTCCTCCCAGGTACCATGCTATGTATGTAACATGTATTAAATAATCTCCTGTAAAGCAGCACATCCACCCAGGCAGGAGATTGTTATTCTCATCTACCAGATAAAGGTTAAGGGCTACTTCAACACAATGTCCCACAACTACAGCAAGGAGGAACGTGGTTTGCTTGGAAAGGCATGGAGTGGGCCCACTTGCTGAAGGCATAAAAACAAGACCGGGTTATTTCTGATCTCCTGTCTTGGCAGAGGCAAGGGCAGCTTTCGGGAAGACCTAGGGCTTCCATTCCACCATGCCAAGCCAGCATTGCCCAAGGATGGGCCAACGTCCAGGGCAGTTTGAACTGCCAGTATCCTGTCTCACTGTCTGGCACTGGACACAGGAAGCTGGACTCAAGGCAGAATCTGCACTTGCGTAGGAGGATGCCACAAACCATCTGACACACAGCACACCTCCCCAAAGAACAGCTCCCAGGCCATTCTCAGACGGCCCATCCTGGTTCCAAAAAAGCGTATGTATTTTTAGCTATCGTTCATTCATTCAGCAACAATTTACTGTGCTCTTCTGAGGCTCAGAGCTGGGCAGGCACCAGGGATAGAGAGAATAATATGATCCAGTTCCTGGCCCCTGCAGCACATCAGTTTAGTGATCACATGTAAACAAACGCCCACGATAGTGTAGGGTGGGCGCTCTGATTATTTATGCTGTGGTGTGAAGCTGGGTCATGACTATTCTCTGTGGAACAGTTAGGGAAAGAGTCCCAGTGTGAGTTCATTCACTCACTGCCTTACGCTTCAATAAGTGACTAATTCACTAATTTACTGACTCATTCACTTATTCACTTACTCATTCCCAGAGCTAATTTATTCCTTGATTACATACTCATTCACTGACTCATTTGCTCACTCACTAATTCACTGTTCTATTCATTAGCTATAATATATCCATCATTTATCCATCCCTTTGTCTATCTATTCACTCATAATTTGTTTCATTCACTGACTTATCTACCCAGTTAATTTATTCAATTGTTTCCTCTTTCTTTGATTTATTCATTTGTAAACTCACTCATTCATAGATTCATTCATTCATTTGGTTCTTCACTGAGTCATTAACTCATTGATTGATTCATACATTGACTCATCTATTCATTTATTTCCTTATTACTAATTGACTTTCATTTATCCGTTAATTCATAAATTCATTCAGGAATTCATGGACCCATTGATTCACTCATCCATTTACATGTTCGTCTTTCATTTCTTGACTCCTTGACCTATTAGTCTTCCATTCATTTGCTCATTGACTTTAGTCTTTCATCATCCACTCATTCACTTTGTGACATTTCTGCTGACACGTGAACTCACCCACTCATTAACTCACCATGCATTTATCCACTTATCACTGACTCAGTCACTCATGGACCTATCATTTGATCCATTCACTCATTCATGTACTCCTTCCCATTTTTATTACTTCATTTATTCATTCCTGTGTTTACTCAAAGACTCATTTGTTCATGTACTGCTTCACTCCTCCATTCTTTTATTCACCATGTATTCACCTACTCATTCAACAGATGCTTATTGTGTGTGCTCTCCATGTAAGGCACAAGGGGCAGAGCAGTGAAGGACAGGAGTGTGGTCCCCAGCTTTGCGGAGCTACAGACTAGTGAGTCTGTCACTGGCTCAGGAGTCATCTCTTCCACAACTCACCTGACACTAAGATTAAGTTGAAGGCATACCTTCTGTGCTTCTGGAAAGTCCATCTACCTGTCCTATCTTATCAAATTGTGGCATTTATAAGTGGGTCTCCCTCTAACCTCACAGAGAGCCCATCTACCTTCCCTATTCTATTGAATTGTTGCATTTATAAGTGGGTCTCTATCTAATCTCACAGAGCTACTTAATGGGTGGAACTAAATTCATATATAAATGCCACTCCTGACATGGAGTCTGACAAGAATTAGCATCAATACTTGTTGAGCTGAAATTAATACCTTAATATTAGTTATTTTAGTACTCTCTCTGATATCACCCACCAGAAAATTTTAAAATATGGGGTATAGGGGTTTCCTAACACCACCTCCAAATAAATCAGTTCACTAGAATTTGTAACTGAGATAGTGAAAAAAACTCAATGTAAGTAGCATGCAAAAATGTCTAAAATATCCGTAGTATATGCAGAATGGTACTATGTACTATTAAAATAAAGATATAAAAGATGAAAGTTTCGTTTCATAAAAGTCCATGGTGCAGAACTGAAATACTTATAATCTTTGTTTCAAAACACATTTTAACCACTGGTTCATGATTTGCCCTCTTCTAATTTACTTTTTTATATACTTATTTCCTTAATCATAATAATCAACTCCATGAACCCAACAAAACACAAAAACAAGAACACTGAATGTTTTAACACCTGTTTCTGACCTCATTATACACAGAGAAAACAGACTGACTCTTTTCTGTGTAATGGATTTCAGAGAAGCAGAATTGTGTTGATCATAATTCTTGCTTCATGAAATGTTATCATTTGAATATTCTTGTCCATTCTAATGTTTTTGTTGTTCATTAATTTACTTAATTATTAAGTTACTCATTTTCAAAAATAAAGTCAACAACAAAGAATCCACTCCCAAGAAAGAGGGGAGAAATTGACTATCATTTAAATCTTTCCATGACCTCCTCAAACAGTGGTAAAACAGTTAACCCAAGTTAAACAAATCCTTGTTTCATGGTATAATCTCCCAGTTGGTCATGAGTGGCCATTGTAATTTTACTAGCATAAACGCTTTGTACTTGTTTAACTATTTATTATTTTTAATAAAATAATAAAACTCAAGAGAACCACAACTAACCCAAGAACGAGATCTTTGACTAAGGCTCGAAACAGCCTATAATCTCCTTAATCTAAGAGGTAGCAAACCAAACCTCTTTTTAAATGGATCTCGTTTTGCAAAATGACACTTGGCAGGATTCATTCTTATCATTGGTTCAGGCATGGTCTTCTTGGATTTTATGATTGCATAAAGTCATTTCTTCTTTTTAAATAATAAATAATCATCATCTCTAACAAAAGCCTAAACCAAGAATAAAAACTTAATCTGACTTGCCCTGTTCTACACTCTCCTTGGCCACATGGGTAACAGTCAAGATCTTCATCCTTTAAATAATTATTAAAACAGCCAAGTTACCTCTGTTCTGTGGGCTTACAAAGCAGATGTAGAAAATAATGAAATACCCTTATCATTGGTTCATACTTGGCACCCATTTATTTACCTATACACGTATTTGTTTGTTTAATTTTAATTTTTTTTGTCTTAATGAATCAAACACCTGGGAACCCACAGCAAACTAGGAGCAGAACATTGACTATTAAATACTTCTATCTAGATGCTTCTTACCCAAAGTGGTGACAAATTTAATCTGTTTTCTTTTTTTGATGGACCAAGGTACTTCAGAACTGAATTAATTATATTCCTTGCTTTACAACATGCCTTCAGAATTGGTCCATGTCTTAACCTCCTTTTCTTTACTCATGAATATACTTGTGTGTTGATCCACAGAAGTGGATCTGCTAATTGTATAAAATCAGTATCTGTGAACCCTCTCAAGCTCCGGAACTAGATTCTCAAACTTGCCTGATATTATTCCCACAAAGGTTTACATATTAGTTCTTCTTTTTGCAGTGGACCTCAGTTGTTCAAAAATGATTGATCATAATTTTTACTCAGATGCATTCCGTTCACATCATTGGTCCAGACATGGCCCCTCTACATTTAATTTGAAACATTTTTAGATATCAAATGAACAAGCTTGAACCACCATCCTACTCAACAACTAGAATACTGACTCCATAAATGAGTAACAGCCTTTATCAAGAGAAGAGTCTTTGAATAATCAGTGAGACAAACATACAATGTGACATTTAACTATTGAAAATGAATGGAAAAGCTAAGTTTTTTTTCCTTATACTTCACTTGTGCTAAATTGGATTAGTTTCGGTCCATAACACATTCTCATCATAGGCCTATGCATGACCTTTTAAAATTTAATTATCTTTTTAAATGACAGTAGAAATCATGAACTAACAACCCAACCCAAGAACTTTATTACTTACATTGCATGACATTCTCCTAACTCCGAGGGATAAGGTAAAGTTCCTCATCATGGAAGAAGAATTTAATCAGCTCTGGTCTATCCATCCTGTAGATGATATTACCAAATGAAAGAGGATATTACTAAATGAAAAGACCTAGATTTAGGTTTCGATTTAGTGAACATGAAGTAACCATCACAGAAATTGATCACAAACAATGATTTATGCCACATTCTTATCTCTGGTTTGTGCATGGAGCGCCATCTTATTAATTAACATATTATCCGTTTTAACAATATCAGGAATACCCTTAAATGAACCACCTAACATAAAAACTATGAGAGTTACATACATCTGACTCCATATTCCATACCCACAGAGCTAAAAATGTAGAGCTCCTCTTTTAAAAAGGACTTCTTTTGTGCAAAACAGTAGTCATCATGAAACTTGATTTATAATACAATCTTACCATTGGTCCTTATGTAGCCTTCACTGATTATATTATGTGTTATTATTATCATACACTAAATACCCTAAATGGACCATCCAACAATGACAAGAACTTGGATCATTACTCACACTGACCCACGAAGGTCTTCATCATTACAGAATCATTGTAATGATGAGTGTGTTCATTCTATGGAATTGAAAGCAGATGGTGAAAAAAAGGAAAAATAAATATGTATTATTTTATACCTTTAAAAATTTATACACAAAATATGCAGGAATTATCCCTTACAAAAAGGGAGTGAAAATATCAAAAACTGATCCATGTTTCCCTCCTTGATTTGCTTAGCTATTTGTAATTAGGTATTGGTAAATTTGTGAAATTATTTATTTGCTTCTCTTAACAAAACAAACTTGAACTCACCATTCTCCCAGAGCAAAAACGTTGACTATTACTATTCTTTGTGTATATGATCCTTACCAAAAGAAGGAACATTCCTGATTTATTCATTTATTCATACAATTCAGTGTTTCAGGATATTAAAAATATATAATTCCACAGATGTTCTGATTGGACTCATTCTAATTTTTGGTATGTAACACACTTTCATCCCTGTTCTTTTTTAATTCTGTATATAGATGTAGTCATTTATGCATTATTTTATAATACAATGAATACCTCTGAGTAAACACCCCACCCAAGGACAAGAACTTTGCACATTATATTTATAGGCCTATAGCCTTCTTTCCCAGAGACTTACCAGCCAAGGTCTTCACCAATGATAATCCATTCTGGAGGGCAGAAAGCAAATGGTAAAAAGAATGAAACATCTTAAATTTTGACTATGCTCTAATATTCTAATAAATGAAAGGTGAGCAAGTTTAGATTAATTTTTATAATTGAGTCATGCTCTTTTTACAATTGGCCAGAAAGTTCCTCTTTTTTGTCACATTAATTCAATTATTAATTTTGCATTTGAAATAGATGCCTTTGCAATTGCAACAAAAGCAAAAATTGACATGTGGAATCTAATTAAACTAATGAGTTTCTGCACAGCAAAAGAAACTATCATCAGAGTGAACAGACAACCTACAGAATGGGAGAAAAAATTTGCAATCTATCCATCTGACAAAGGTCTAATATCCAGAATCTACAAGGAACTTAAGCAAATTTACAAGAAAAAAACAAACAACCCCATTAAAAAGTGGGCAAAGAACATGAACAGACACTTTGCAAAAGAAGACATACATGCAGCCAACAAACAAGAAAAAAAGCTCAACATCACTGATCATCAGAGAAATACAAATCAAAACCACAGTGAGATACTACCTCATACCAGTCAGAATGGCAATTATTAAAAAGTCAAGAAAAAACAGACGCCAACAAAGTTAAAGAGAAATAAGAAAGCTTTTATACTGTTTGTTCAACCATTGTGGAAGACAGTGTGGTGATTCCTTAAAGAGTTAGAAGCAGAAATACCATTTGACCCAGCAATTCCATTACTGGGTATATACCCAAAGGAATAAAAATCATTCCATTATAAAGATACATGCACATGTATGTTCATTGCAGCACTATTTGCAACAGCAAAGACATGAAATCAACCCAAATGGCCATCGATGATAGACTGGATAAGGAAAATGTGATACATATACACTATGGAATACTATGCAGCCATTAAAGGGATGAGAGCATGTGCTTTGCAGGGACATGGATGAAGCTGGAAGCCATTATCCTCAGCAAACTAATGCAGGAACAGAAAACCAAACACTGTATATTCTCACTTATAAGTGGGAGCTGAACAATGAGAACACATGGACACAAGAGAGGAACAACACACCTTGGCGCCTGTCAGGGAAGGGTGGGGAGAGCATCAGGAAAAATTGCTAATGCATGCCGGGCTTAATACCTAGGTGACGGGTTGATAGGTACAGCAAACCACAGTGACACACGTTTACCCAAGTAACAAACATCCACATCCTGCACTTGTACCCCAGAACTTAAATAAATTAAATGGATGCCTTTGAATCCAACACCTGAATCAAGAATGAGAGTTCTCTGCAAAACATGTCAGCTTCAATGCCTCCACCCATGCACTCAACAACCTAAATCTTTGGACCTCCCATATGCATAATTAGATTCATCTAAATACTTGTTTCAGAGCAATTTCATACCAATGAACAGTGCTTGATACCACTTCATTCATTCAATCACAAACCAATTTGGCCAACTATTCATTCTTTGTAAAGAAACAGAACAATATGTAAACTCTCAGAAACCCAGAACGTGTCTGATCATGTGCATCTACCTTATGCAAACACTTGTAAGAGCCAAAATATTTGCTTTAAGAAGAACACAATCTCTGGACCCAGTTACATCACAACCATTATTTCCAGACATGTTTGCTGCTGGCCCTTGCTTTATCCTTTTCAGCTAATTGATTATTATTAGCATGCATTTGTTCATTATTAAGATAAAATCAGTATCCTTACACATGATCTAGACTATAGCATGGATCATCGTAGCACATGCATAGTTGATCATGATCAAAGTAATAACAGATGATGTCACTTTGTAATGGAATTTAGTGAGCACAATAGCTCTTGTTGTGGAACAAATTCTTGTCACTGGTCCTCTTTAAAATTAGTTTTTTATTTATATAAACAACATCCCTGTTTAGGGATAAGACAAACAACCAGGAAACCAAAGACAACTCAACATAAACATGGACAACTCATATATTTGTCTACATGTTTCTCATTGTGAGAGATTCAAAATCTGACACAATTCCCACTTCCTGAGCAATAGATCAGTACTGTGACTTGCTTTATTACACATGTTATATTTGGTCCAGATGTGGCCATGTTTTTATTCACTTATTTCTTTTACTTGAGTTCTTCATGCATTAATTTACTTGTAATAATATAATCATTATCCATGAGTTACCAAAGCATAAGAATAGGGTATAGGATAATTGATTTTGGGTTTTTTGTTTTTTGTTTTTTTGAGACAGGGTCTGACTCTGTTGCCCAGGCTAGAGTTCAGTGGCGAAATCTCGGCTCACTGCAACCTCCACCTCTTGGGTTTAAGTGATTTTCCTGCCTCAGCCTCCCAAGTAGGTAGGATTACAGGCACTCGCCACCACACCCAGCTAATTTTTATATTTTTAGTAGAGATGGGGTTTCACCATGTTGGTCAAGCTGGTCTAGAACTCCTAACCTTGTGATCCGCCCACCTCGGCCTCCCAAAATGCTGGGATTACAGGCGTGAGCCACCGCGCCCAGCCAATAACTGAATATTTTTAACTACTGTCTACAGGATCATTTCCAACTGAGCAATAGGCTAGATTTCTTTTATACTGGAGCTTAAACTTCCTGACTTCTATTACTCATCATCCTTGACTCATACCCACAAGTCATCATCTCTGGACCAGGCCACAGACAATCAATCTTTTTCTTCATTTACACTTTGTCTATTTCATTTATTTATTAATTTACTACTTTATAATAAGGAAATAGACATGAATCAGAAAAAAATATAACAAGAGCTGTGATAACCCTGTTGTCTATCTGAAGATCAGTTCCTACAGAAATTAGACCTGTTTCTTGAACTGACCTCATTGTTTCAAACATGCATTACTCAACATAATGTTTCATATCAACCCCATGTTCATTGGGCCATGGTTAGTCTTCTTTAATTATGTTTTCTACTTATTAATAATGCATTGACCACTCTTAAATGGCCCAAACTAAGACAAGAACTTTGACGATTACTGACCTTTGTCTGCAGGTTCCTTAAAACAGCCATAGAGCAAGTGTTCATGGCAGAATCAGTGCAGGAAGTGACTGTTCTGAGGATTACAAGGAAGAGCAGAAGACAAAATGTGAGACTTTCTATTCATTAGTTTTTTCATTCTACCTTCCATTTACTCTGTCAGATGGTATTTATTGATTTATGTTAATATTTGCTTATTTTCCCCTTAATAAAATAAATATTGAACTTACAATTGACCCAGTTGACCTGCGAATTGACCTAAAAAATCACATAGCCATTGATAACTAATAATCAGTGTTACTGCTCTATCAATGGCTCTATGATTCTTAGCCAGAGAGTTAAAACCGATGGCCCATTTATTATCCATTCCAAATTAATTAATAGTATTTCTTTCCTTGCCACATATGTTAACAATTAGAATATGCCTCTCTCTCGCTTCATGTTTAATCATTTAAATCTTTGTTTGATTCTTTCACTAATTCATTTATATTAATACAATCATAATCAATGAACTGTAAAATTGGAAGCAAATAGACCTCGATATCACTAACATCTATCTAAAGGATTTTTTTCAACAGAGGAATAGATTAGATTTCTATTATATTGAACCTCAGAGTTCCAGGCACTTAGTACTCACCATCCATGACTCACACGCCACCAGCTGTCATCACCGGCTCAAGCTTGGACCTCATTTTCTTAATTCATGTCTACGTGTTTTTATTGATTAATTTATCAGTTCACTAACAATAAAATAATTACCTTAGAGCCACAAAAACTTGAGAGTAAAGTCCTTAAATAGCTCTAATATCTGTCTCTGTCAATACTACTCACAGCAATACATCTCTTTCATTAATTAAATTCAATGTTTTATATATATGCATTAATCAACATAATGCTTTACATTAATCCTATTTTTACAAATGGGCCAAAGCTTACCTTCAATGGTTATATTTAACACTTCTTAATAATACTACGAATATCTTTTTTAAAAAACACTGCAACCAAGAACGTTGACTATCACTCACATTGGTCTCCATACACCATATAACACATAGATGCAATCATGGATCTTCCCATTAAAAAAGAATGATAAAATCAGCCAGAGTGTGTTTATTTTGAGGAGTACAGAGCACAAGAGATGATCAGAAAAGATTAAGACATTATCTGCGTTACCTTTGCATTCTGTCTTCCACTGATTCAGTCATATAGGTTATTCGGGATGACATCTATCTTATTTACTCTACACAGCCAGACAGTGTCAGTCACGCGACTGCCACAACACATAAACATTCACTATTATTTATCACTGTCTATAACATCCCTAACTACAGAAATAACAACCTCATACCACTTATTTCCTAATGGTATTGGTGTTTTCAATATATATCATAGGTTTTCTTCTCACTCTATTACCCAGGTTGAAGTGCAGTGGTGTGATCTCAGCTCACCACCACCTCCATCTTCCGGGTTCATGCGATTCTCCTGCCTCAGCCTCCCAAGTAGCTGAGATCACAGGCATATGCCACCACGCCCAGCTAATTTTGTATTTTTAGTAGAGACAGGGTTTTACCATGTTGCCCAGGCTGGTCTCAAACTCCTGACCTCAGGTGATCCACCCACTTCGGCCTCCCAAAGTGATGGGATTACGGGTGTGAGCCACCACGCCTGACCATACCGTAGCTTTTCTTGCCTCACAAATTGTTTTTATAGTTGGACAATGCTTAGTCCCATCCAACATAATTTATTTGTATATTTGTTTAGTGGTTCCTTCATTGATCGAATTATAATAATAGATTGAAAATTCGTGCTCACAAACAGCAAAAACAAGACCCCTGCATATTCCTGACATCTGTCTATATGATCACTTCCAAAAGAGGGAAAAAACTATATTTCTTTTCTGATGGACCTCAGAGTTCCAGATAGGTATTCACTGACTAAGACCCACCCAATACCGGTAGTCATGATTGATCCAGGATTAGCTCTGATGTTCTTCATTCTTTGTTACTTTATTTATTACTTCATTATTTCACCACTAATAACTTTTAAACACTATCACTCATAAAATCCCAAGAGGAGCCTTGATATCTCTAATTTGTATATACAGTCAGCCTCACAATACCATATCCCCTCATTACTACCTTTCATAATAACACAGGACATGCTTTTCATACAAGCATCCCTCAGTGTAACATTCCCTATCCATTCCATATTTATCCCTAGGCTACTCATGGCCTTATTGGATTATATTTCATATTTTTTGTTTATGCACTATAAACCTTTAAACAAAACACCCAAGATGGGATAAGAACTTTGACTATTACTCACATTGGTGTCCAGCTTCTAGCACAGAGATAGCTCTTAACCAGTGAAAACCAGCTTCTGTGCTTCCATTCTGAGTACAGAGCAGAAGAGATGACAACAAAAATGAGACCTTCTCTCCATTGATCCTTGCTTTTCAAATATACCTCAAATTAACGAATGTGTAAACATTTATACTCATTTGCATGTTCATTAATTTGAGGTATATTTCATTTTTTTTTTATGAATAACTGGCCGGATGTGGTGGCTCATGCCTGTAATCCCAGCACGCTGGGAGGCAAAGGCAGGTGGATCACTTGAGGTCAGATGTTCAAGACCAGCCTGAGCAACATGGTGAAACCCCATCTCTACTAAAAATACAAAAACTAGCCAGGCGTGGTGGCGCATGCCTGCAATCCCAGCTATTAGGGAGGCTGAGGCACAAGAATTGCTTGAACCCATGAGGCGGAGGTTGCAGTGAGCTGAGATCGTGCCATTGCACTCTGCCCTAGGTGACAGAGTGAGACTCCATCTCAATAAAAATAAAAATAAAAATAAATAAATAAATAACTTTGGACTTGTCCCTGACCCAGAACTTGAATATGGTCAATAATTTATACTGTCTATCTCATTCAAAGAGGTAACAGGTATGCAAGACTTATCTTTAGTAGTCACCAATTGCAGTATGTATTAATAGTGTTTGTTGTCTTTCCACATATTTTTATAATTGGACAATGCTTCACCTTATTCATCTTTTTTTTTTTTTTTTTTTGGACACAGAATCGTGCTCTATTGCCCACGCTGCAGTGACGTGATCTTAGCTCACTGCAACCTCCCAGGTTCAAGCAGATTTTTGAATCCTGGGTTCAAGAGATCCATGTGTCTCAGCCACCCAAGTAGCTCGGATTAGAGGCACATGCCTGGCTAATTTTTGTATTTTTAGTAGAGATGGAGTTTCATCATGTTGGCCAGGCTGGTCTTGAACTCCTATCCTCAAGAGATCTACCTGTGTTGGCCTCCCAAAGTGCTGAGATTACAGGTGTAAGCCACCACACCCAGCCCTTATTCATCTTTATTTATATATTTATTAATTGATTCTCTCATTGATCCAATTATAAATATAAAATAAAAATTCATAAACATGAAAACCAAACGCATATACATTCTGTTTTTTGCCATCTGTCTGTAGGATCACTTGAAACAGGGAATAGACTAGGTATCTTTTGAGACGGACCTCAGAGTTCCAGACACGTATTTATTGTCTATGACTCATATGCCACCGGCAGTCATCATCGATCCAGGACTGGCCCTTCTTTTCTCTGTTATTTTCTACATTGTCTGTTGATTAATTCATTAATTTACTAATAATAACTTTAAACCTTATGACTCACAGAACCCCAAAAAGATATCCCTAATCATTCTGACATTAATATATGTTTCATGAATTATCCTGTTTTTTGTATGTGAATTATCAATATAATACTTCTTTTGACTCCAATATCCCTCACTAGATAAAATTCACCATCTTTGGTTATATTACATATTTATTTACAGTACATTGAGTCCTCTTACATAAACTACCCAAAGAAATACAAGAAATCTGACTGTCACTCACATTGGTACACATGCTCCTTCCTAAGCATGGTGCAAATAGAACACGTGACCATGAAGAAGTCCTCAAATCAGAATAAGTACGTCCATTCTAAGTACAGAGCAAAGAAGATAATAACAAAAGAGGGGCATTTTAACTATCAATCCTGGTTTTTCACCTCTCAATAGTTAGTCATCTATGCTATCATTATTCGGAGTAAACTTATTTCATTTTCTCTTTAAAAAATGAACAATTTCTAACTCACAATTAACCAAGAATTTGAACATTGTCTATAATTATCCTGTCCATATCACCATAGCCAAAGAGGTGAAAGACATGCACATTTACTTCTCTCCAGACTTCACTATTTTCAATACATATTAATAGTGTTTCTTGCCTCACCAAATATTTTTTACAACTGGACAATGATTAACCTTACTCATCTTTATTTATATATTTGTTTATTGGTTTTTATATTGGCCAATTATAAAAACGGAATTAAAACATGTAAACACAAAGACCAAAACCAAACTCATATTCCTGATGCCTGTCTAAAGGATTTTATCAAACACAGAAAATGAGCTAGATTTCTTCTGTGATGGACCTCAGAGTTCTAGACACGTATTCATCGCATATGACTCATACGCCACCAGCAGTCATCATCGATCCAGGATTGTTCATCTCTTTCTCCATTCATTTCTACCTTGTTTATTGATTGATTTTGTTAATTCACGACTAGCAATTTTAAGTCTTAATGGTTCAAAAAAATCCCGAGAATAATTTTAATATTCCTAATTTGTATACTGAATCATTTCAACATTGATATACCTCTTCATTAACTATCCTCGGGTTTTTATATAGGCATTATCAATACAATGCTTCATATCATCTCCGTATCTTTCACTGGGATACAGGTGGACATCTTTGATAATGTCACACAAGTTTTATGATACAATGAGTCCTCTTAAAAGGGCATCAGAAGGAAATCAAAAATGTTGACTATTACTCACATTAGTCTGCCTGAGCCTAACCGTGATGCAAGTGCCTCAGGTGGTCAGGGAAGAACTTTTCAAGGTGCACAATTCATCCATTCTGCAGAGCACAAAGCATAGAGGAGTTCAGAGCATACAGTGGGACATTCTCGCTCATGATTCATCTTCATCTAATGAGTCATTTAGGCAATCATTGTTTGAAGCGTCTTTCATTTTCTCTTCAGAAAATTAGCAGTTTTGAACTTGCCACTGACCCATACCTTAAACATTATCTATAGTTTACACTGTCTACACTATCACTCGCCAAAGAGGCCACAGGCATGCATCACTCATTTTTCCTTGGCTATCACTGTTTCAGTACATATTAACAGTGCTTGCTGCCCTGCCAAATAACCTTATTCATCTTTATGTATTCAAATATTTGCTTATTGATTCTCTCACTAGTCCAATTATAAAATAAAATATAAATGCATAAAACACAAAGACCAAAAACAGAGTCTGTATTTCTGACATCTACCTATAGAATCATGTGAAACAGAAGAAACTGACTTTGTGATGGACCTCAAGAGTTCCAGACACGTATTCATCGTATGACTCACACGACACCAGTAGTCACCACTGAACCAGGATTCTTCCTATTTTTCTCTATTCATTTTTACTTTGTCTAATAATTAACTCATTAATTCACTGATAATAACATTAAAATCTTTGGTTTTTAAAAGCCCAAGAGCTTTGATATTCCTAATCCCTACATAGAATCATAGTGTTGATACATATTTTCATTAATTGTTCTCCATTTTTCATATATGCTTTTTCAATATAGTACTTCATATCACTCCTATAACTGGGAAAGAGTTGGCCATCTTTGATTATAGTCCTATAATATATTGGAATATATCATAGACTATAGTTCTAAACTATGTTGGAATATATTATATATGCATTATATTCCTATACTATATTGGAATATATTATACATAATATATTCCTATATTATATTCCTATAATGTATTATATCTTTTACAATGTATTATATCTTCTTATAATGTATTTTGTAATACATTATAGAAATATATATAATATATTCCTGCAATATATTTTTATAATACACTGAATCCTCTTAAACAAACCACTCAAACAAAGACAAGAGCTTTGACCATTACTTACATTGGTCTGTATGCTCCTTCCTAAGCATGGTGCAAACAGAGCACGTGACCTTGGAGGCATCTTTAAATCATCACAAGTACGTCCATTCTGATGAGTGCAGAGCAGAGAAAATAATAACAAACATGTGATTTTCTCATTGTTGATCTTTCCTTTTCACCTATCTTTAGTTAAACATTTAGGCAATCATTATTTGAAGTATGAACAACTTTGAACTTGCCACTAACGCAGAACATGAAAACGGCATATTAATTTATACTGTCTCTTCATTATTGGCCAAAAAGGTTAGGTATGTTAGATTTCTTTTTGGCTTTCATCAATTTACATACATATTAAATACGCCTCACCACACATTTTTATAGTTGGACAATGCTTAGCTTATTTATTTTATTTATTCACATGTTTTATTCTTTCATTGAACCAATTATAAAATAAAAACTCATAAACAAAAAAAATTCATTCTATATTCTTGCCATCTGTCTAGAGTTACTTGAAACAGAGGAAACTGACTTCTGTGATGGACCTCAGAGTTCCAGACACATATTCATCGTATGTGACTCATACTCCACCAGTGCTCATCATCGATCCAGGGTTGACCCTCTTTCTCTCCATTCATTTCTATGTTGTCTTTAGATTCATTCATTAACTCACTGGTAATAATTTTATACTCTGTGATTCACGAAACCCTAAGAACAGACTTGATATTCCTTATCTTTACACAGAATCATTCTAAAATAGATATATCTGTTTCATTAATTCTTCTCCGTTTTTCATATATGCATTATCAATAAATATTTCAGATCCCTCTCATAAATACCATTGGGACATAGTTGACCATCGTTGACTATATAATACACGTTTTCAAGACACACTGAGTCCTCTTTAGCAAACCACACAAACCGACACAGGAATTTTGACTATTACTAACATTGGTCTGCATGCACTTTCCCAAGCATGGTGTACAAACAGGGCACGTGATCATGGAGGAATCCTTAACACAGCACAAATTGTTCACTCTGAGGAATACAGACCAGAGAAGAGAGTAACAAAATTAAGACATTTTCAATATTGATATTTGCTTTTCAGCTATCATTAATTAGCCATTCATGCAATCATTATTTGGAGTATATTTAATTCATTTTCTGAAAATAAAATGAATAATTTTGAAACTGTCGCTGACGCAGAAGTTGAACATTACCTATATTTTATTCTGTCTACACCATCATTAGCCAAAGAAGCCACAGGAATGTACCGTTTATTTCTCTGTGGATGTCACTGTTTCATATACATTAATCATGTTTCTTACCTTGTCCCTAATTGTTATAATTGGACAATGCTTGAATTTATTCATCTTGATTTGCATTTGTTTATTAATTCTCATATGGATCAATTGTAAAAGTAGAATCAAAACATGTAAACACGAATACCAAAAACATATACATTCTATACTCCTGACAGCTGTCTGTAAACTAATTTCAAACATACAGAATAGGCTAGATTCTGTTTGCAACGGACCTCAGAGTTCTAGACACGTATTCATCGCAAAAGACTCATACGCCACCAGTAGTCATCATCGATCCGGAACTGATCTTCTATTTTTGGATTCATTTCTGCCTTGTCTATTGACTAATTTGTTAATTCACTAATCATAATTTTAAGCCCTATGATTTACAAACCCACAAGAATAGCCATGATAATCCTAATATGTAGGAATATTTATTTCATCAATTATCTTCAGTTTCTCTTGTATGCATCTTCAATATAATCCTCACATCATGCCCATGTTTATTTAAATACAGTTGCTCATCTTTGATTATAGTATACACCTTTTTATAATATATTGAACCCTCTGGAAGAAACCACCCAAAGCAAGCTGAGGACTTCCACTATTCCTTACCTAGGTCTCCAGGCTCCATCCCAAAAACGGTGCAAGTAGAGCACGTGGCCTTGAAGGAATCCCTCAATCAGCAAAGTGCAATCATTCCAGGGAACACAGAGCAGAGAAGAAGATAACTTTTGTTATCCTCTATTTCCATATTATCCTATTATCTATCCTATCCTCTATTTTTATACTATCCTATTTTAAATATAAAAAATATATTTATTATCAAATATTAAATATATTTGATATTATCCTATTATCCTATTTTGATATTGTCACTACCGACCCTTTCTTATCACCTATCATTAGTCAGTCATTTTGGCAGTCATTATTTGCAGTATATTCATTTTATCTAAAGAAATGCATAATTCTGAAATTGCCATTGACCCAGAAATTGAATGTTTTCTATAATTTGTACTGTCTAAACCATCATTAGCCACAGAGGTCACCAGAAGATGCCATTTATATCTCTGTGGACTTCACTGTGTCAAAAGATATTAAGAGTGCTTCTGGCCAGATGCTGTGGTTCATGCCTGTAATCCCAACACTTTGGGAGGCTGAGGTGGGTGGATCACTTGAGGTCAGGGATTCAAGACAATCCGATATTTTGATAATATCGATTCCTCTCAAACCATTCAAACCATTCAAGCCAAGACGAGAATGTTGATTACTACTCACATTGGTCTGTAGGCTCCCAACCATGATAAAAACAGAGCACGTGACCATGGAGGAATTCTCAAATCATAACAAGTGCATCATTCTGAAAGGATAGAAAGCAGAAATGATAAAAAATTTCTCAACATTGATCCCTGATTTTCACCTGTTATTAGTCATTTTGGCAATCATTATTTGGAGTATATTTGTTTTATTTATTTTCTCTTAATAAAATGAAAATCTTCAAAATCACCACTGACTTAGAATATGAACATTGCCTATAATTTATACTATCTGTATCATATACCATTCATTTCTTTTTAGACTTCACTGATTTTAACACATGTTAATAGCATTTCTAACCTTACCACAAATTTTTATAATTGGGCAGTGTTTCAATCATTTTATATTTACTATATATTTGTTTCCTGATTATCACATTGATCCAATTATAAAAATAGAAGGTACATAATCACATAGAAAAAACAAACATTCTATATTTTTAAAATCTGTCTATAACAACATTCGAAATCGAGAATAAGCCAGATTTTATTTGTGACGGACCTCAGAGTTCCAGACACGCATTCATCACGTATGACTCATACGCCACCGGTGGTCATCATCGATCCAGAATGTGTCCTATTTTTCCCTGTGCACTTTTACCTTGTCTAATGATTAATTCATTAATTTGTTAATAATAATTTTAAAACCTTTGGTTCACTAACGCCTCAGAACAGCATTAATATTAATATTCTTTATCTGCATATAGAATCATTCTCACACTGATAAATGTTTCATTAATTACTCTCAGGTTTTCAAATACATATTGTTAACATAATGCTTCATATCACTACTATTTCTATCCCTGGGCTGCAGCTGGCCATTTTTTATTATAGTGCAGACTTTTTAATAATACATCAAGTCCTCCTAACTAAACCACCCAAACTAAGACCAGAACTTGATTACTCACATTGGTCTGCCTGCTCCCAATCAAGAGGCAGACACACCACGTCACCAGGGAGGAATCCTTCCATCAGCACAGGCCATCTATTCTGAGGAATACAGAGCAGAGACAGTAACAAAACTGAGACTTTCTCATTAATGATCCTTGCTTTTCACCTTGCCTTTAATCTGTCCTTTAGGCATTCATTAGGTGGACTAATATTTATTTCATTTTCTCCTAAGAAAAAGAACAATTTGATCTTGCAAGTGAATAAGAATTTGAACATTATCTATAATTTATTCTGTCTATATTATTATAAGCCAAAGAGGTAACAGGTATGTACAATATCTCTTTGGACTTCACCAATTTCAATATACATTAATAGTATTTCCTGCCTCAACACGTATTTTTATAGTTGTACAATGCTCCCCTATTTTATCTTTATTTATATGTTTATTGATTCTTGCATTAGAATGAAAATGAAACCAAAACAACTTCATTCTATATTCCTGACATCAGTCTATAGAATCACGTAAAACAGAGGGAATGGACTAGGACCTCAGAGTTCCAGACACGTATTCATCACATATGACTCATACGCCACCGGTGGTCATCATTGATCCAGGATTGGCCCTCCTTTTCTCCATTCAGTTTTACATTGTCTGTTGGTTGCCTCATTAATTTACTAATAATAATTTCAAAGCCTATGATTCAAAAAACTCCAAGAACAGCCTTGATATTTCTGATCTGTATCCAGAATCATTCTAACATTGATATTATCTGTTTCATTAATTATCCTCAGTTTTTCATACATCCATTATCAATATAATACTTCATGTCACTGCCATGTCTACCATCAGGATAACATTAACCATCTTTGACTATATTTCACACTTTTTAATAATACATTGATTACTCTTAAACAAACCACCCAAACCACAATAACGACTCTGACCATTACTCACATTGGTCTGCAGGTTCCTTCCTAAGCACGGTGCAAACAGAGCATGTAACCCTAGAGGAATTCTCAAGACAGAACAACGATGTCCATTCTGAGTAGTACAGTGCAGAGAAGATGATAACAAATTTGAGACATTATCACCATTGATCCTTGCTTTTTGCATTTCTTTAGTCATTTAGGCTACCATTATTTAGAGTACAGTATATTTATTTCACTTTCTCTTAAGACGATGAACAACTCTGAATTTGCCACTGACCCAGAATACAAACACTGTCTATAATTATCCTCTCTATATCATTAGCCAAAGAGGTGACAGACATGTAACATTTATTTCTCTTTGAACTTCACTATTTCCAATACATATTAATAGTATTTGTCTCACCATCTATTTTTATAATTGTGCAACACTTCACCCAATATATCCTTTTTTTTTTTTTTTTTTTTTTTTTGAGATGGAGTCTCGCTCTGTCACCCAGGCTGGAGTGCAGTGGCCGGATCTCAACTCACTGCAAGCTCCGCCTCCCAGGTTTACGCCATTCTCCTGCCTCGGCCTCCCAAGTAGCTGGGACTACAGGCGCCCGCCACCTCGCCCGGCTAGTTTTTTGTATTTTTTAGTAGAGACGGGGTTTCACCGTGTTAGCCAGGATGGTCTCGATCTCCTGACCTCGTGATCCGCCTGTCTCGGCCTCCCAAAGTGCTGGGATTACAGGCTTGAGCCACCACGCCCGGCCAATATATCTTTATTTTTATATTTGTTTGTTGATTCTCACATTAACTCAATAATAAAAATTGAATGAAAATGTATGAGTACAAAGACCAAAAACAAACCCACTCTACGCTCGTGATACCCATCTAAAGGATTGTATCAAACATAGAAAATGGGCTAGATTTCTTTTGTGACACACCTCAGAGTTCCAGAGACATATTCATTGTAGATGACTCATACGCCACCAGTAGTCATCATCAACCCACAGGATAGGTGCTCTTTCTCTCCACTGACTTCTGATTACTTACTAATGATTTATTAATCCACTGACCATAAATTTTAAAATCATTGTTCATGAAATCCCAATAAGAGCTTAGAGATTCCTAATCCCTACAATGAATCCTTCTAATATGGATATGGCTGTTTCATTCACTATCCTCAGTTTTTCGTAGATGCATTATCAATGTAATGCTTCACATGAGTCCCCTATTTATTGCTAGAATACCACTGGTCATCTTTGATTATAGTATACACTTTTTTAGTAATTCATTGAATATTTTGAAATAACTACACAAACCAAGAGAAGAATTTTAATGATTACTCACATTGGTCTCTGTGCTACTAACAAATAGATGCAATCATAGAACAAAGATGCAAGGAGGAATGTTTCAATTGGCTCAAGTGCACTCATTCTGATGAAAACAAAGCAGAGTCGATATTTTAAAAAACAGACACCTCATCCTCTATAATTCTTGCTTTCTGCATTTCTTTTACTTGATCATTCAGGTACTTAATAATTTTACATGAAGTATATTTTTTTTCTCTTAACAAAAGGGACAACCTCGAACTTAGAGGAACTGGTTCAGAATAATAAAATCGATTCTTACTATTATTAGTGTCTATATGATTTTAATCCAAAGAAAGAGGGAACATCTTTGATCCAATATTTTCTTAATGGATGTTAGTTTTCTCTACTTGTATTAATAATATTGATTGCCTCACTACATACTTTTATAGCTGAACACTGCTGCACTCTCTTCAATTTTATCTATTTACTTATATTTGTTTAATGGTCCTATCATTAATTCTTTAATATTAATAAATCTAAATCTATGAATCTAAAATAAGAACATTGTCCTTATGTATCCCAAACATCTGTCTATAGGATTATTCCAAACAGAAAGAATAAATACGTTTTGTGTTGATGCTCAGAGTTCCACACACATATTACTCATCGTTTATGACTCCTGCACCACTATCTGTAATCATTGTTCTGTGTGTACTCATCGGCCAATTTTTTCTTCATTCACTCTTATATTTGCAGAGACTGAATCACTAATTCACTGAAAATCAGTGAGTCAGAAAAATGCAAAAATAAAATGCTAGAATAGTGCTAACAGCTATCAATACAACCATTTCCCATATACATTCCATCTTTTTCATTTAATGATGTCAGTATTAGGGATTAATCAACATCATATTTTACATTATACTTATTAACTATTTGATTAATACTTTTTAATAATACCATGAATACTCACAAACAAATAAATGAAACCAAGACAAGAACACTGACTGACTATATTCACATTGGTCTCTTTTTGAACGGAGTTAACATGAGAAACTTGATTGTTGCAGAGTGTTCAAATCAGCTAACTGCATCTGCATGGAAGGGTGCTAGGTGGAGATGATGATAAAAAAATTGAGACATTCTGTCCGTTGATCTATAATTTCTTTCCTTCATTCACTTAGTCGTTTAGGTATTTATTAATTTATGGTAATATTTATTTATTTTTCTTCTTATGAACTTCAAACTTGTAATTGACTTGGCGCAATAACTGCTATGACTTATCAGTAATTATTATTATTGTCTCTATCATCTTTAGTCAGAAATATTATACACCTGGTCCATTTATTATCCATTCCAATTGTACATTAACAGTATTTTCCTTACTGCATATTTCAGCAATGAACAAGGCTTTGTCCTTTTCATTTTTATTTGTTTTATTTTATTTGTACATTTATTTGTTTATTCTGCCATTGCTACTTTTACAATATTTTTAAACCTCTCGCACACAAGACTAATCACAAACTCCTTGTACATTTTAGGTATCCGTCTATTATATCACTTTAAACATGGCAATGGACTAGATTCTATTTGTGTTGGACCTCAAAGTTTCAGATTCATACTATTCTTCATATACAACCAGCATATACAATCACGTAAGCCACCAGTTGTCATCAATGGTCCAGGATTGGCCTTCTTTCTCTTCATTCATACCTACACTTGTTTACTGAGTAATTCATTAATAAAGACATACACATAAACCACAAAAAAATAAGCTCTTCAATATCACTCACATTCATCTATACTATTACAAGGAGCCTAAATCCCTTTCTTTAAATGAATTCAGTTTTTCACATAGCATTAAATCAACGTAATACTGCATATCAATCTGAAATAAAACATTAGCATGATTGACATTCTTTGAATCACTCAAACCAACGTAATTTTTACCATTGCTGATGCTGGTCTCTATGATCCTAGCACATAGATACAAACACAGAGTTCGTGAGCGTGGAAGAATATACAAATCAGAGCACAGGAGATGATTACATATTCTCTTCATTGAGCCACAGATGCCTCCATCCCTTTATATAGTCATTCAGGCATTTATAAATTTATATCAATATTTATTTTTCTCTTAATAAATCAAACATGAAATATGCAAGTGAATCATCAAAAACCGTTACTTCTCACTTTCAGTTATCACTCTTAGTCTAAGACAAAATACACTTGTTCCAATTTATATTAATACTATTTTTCCCTCCTGTATATTTTAACAATGAGCACGCTTTACCACCTTGATGTTTATTCATTATGTATTTGTTTATCTACTCTATCAGTGATTCCTTATAATTTTTAAGAATGCATGAACACAGCCGGGCGTGGCGGCTTATGCCTGTAATCCCAGCACTTTGGGAGGTTGAGGAGGGCGGATCACGAGGTCAGGAACTCAAGCCAGCCTGGGCAAGATGGTGAAACCCCGTCTGTACTGAAAATACAAAAATTAGCCAGGCGTGGTGGCAGGTGCCTGTAATCCCAGCTACTCGAAAGGCGGAGGCAGAGAATTGCTTGAACCTGGGAGGCAGAGCATGCAGTAAGCCGAGATCGCACTGCTGCACTCCAGCCTGAGCAACAGAGAGAGACTCCATCTCAAAAAAAAGAATGCATGAACACAAAGATTCTTGTCACTGACACCAACTTACTGGACCTTGTAAAGAGAGGAAATGAATGCATACTCCCAATGGTCTGCGTGCTCCTAACACACAGAACCAACCATAGTGCACATGCCATGGAAGAGTGCTTAAATCAGATGGAGTGGAGCCATTCTGAGGAGTATAAACAGAACAGATGATTTAAAAATTCAGACATTCCTCCAATGATCCCTGCCTTTCACCTTTCATTTATCACTTAAATCATCATTATTTGGAATATATTTATTTCATATTCTCTTAAAACAAATGACTCTGAACTTGCTACTAACAAAAACACTTCTTATACCTTTGAGTTGTATACCACCAGTCATCACCATTGGTCCAGGAATGGCCCATCTCTTCTTCATTTGTTTCTCCATTGTTTATTGATTAATTCAGTAATTTACTAATAATGTGTTTAAAGTGCTATAATGCCCAAAACCTGAAAAAAGCCTTGATGTCCCTAATATATGTATAGAATCATTCTCAGGTCAATGTACCTCCTTTACTAAATATCCTCAGTTTTCTTAAATGAATTAATTGAATTAATTCATCAATAGACTGCTTCATATCAATTTCACATTTGTCACTGGGCTGCAGTTGGCCTTCTTTAATATACTGTATAATTTTTAATACTGTACTAACTATCCTTAAAAAAAGTACTCAAGCCAAGAACATTGACTATTACTTACAGTGGACTCCAAGCTCCTAACACACAGATGCAACTGTACAGCCCGTGGGCATGAAGGGGTGCTTGAGACAACTCAAGTGAGCCCATTCTGAGGTGCACAAAGTAGGACTCTTGATTAAAAATTTGAGACCTTATGGCCATGGTTCCCTGCTTTGTGTCTACCGTTCAGCCGGTAATTAAGGCAAACATTCATTGGGAGGATATTACATTTTCTCTAAAAACGAACAACTTCAGATTTGCCGCAGACTCAGAGCATGAACATTGCCTATAATTTAAACTGTCTGTGTATCATTAGCCAAAGAGGTAAAAGTCACATACCATTAATTTCTCATTGAATTTCATGATTTCAACGTATAGTAATAATACTTCTTGCCTTCCCACATATTTCTATATTTGGACAATGCCTCATCTATTTTATCTCGATTGACTTATATTTTTGTTCATTGATGCTTTTGTTGATCCGATTATAATAAAAGAATGAAAGTGCATGGAAAAAAACATCACTTTTCTTTTGTGTTGGACCTCAGAGTTCCACACACATATCATTCATTATCCAAGACTCATATGCCGGCAAGTTTCATCATTGATCCAGGAAGGGCCTACTTTTACTCAATTCATTTCTAAGTTATTTATTGATTAATTTAATAATTATAATTTTAAAACTCTGATTCACAAAAATTCAAGAGATTTATATCCCTAACATGTACTTAAAATCATTCTCACTTCAATATCTCCTAATGTTAATAATAATTGTAGTATTTCATGTACATACTAAAAAATATAATACCTCATATTAATCCCATGCTTATTACTAAGCTACAGCTCACCTTCTTTGATTATATTTCACACTTTTTAATAATATAGTGACTGCCCATAAACAAACCATGCAAAACAAGACAAGAACTTTAGCTATTACTCACGTTGTTCTCTAGGCTCCTAATGCAGACATGCAACCCAAAAGCTTGTGACCAAGGAGGAATTCCCAAGTCAGCTTGAGTGGGTCCATTCTGAGAAATACAAATCAGAGAAAATGGCAAAAAAAAAAAAAAAAAAAAAGACATTCTCTGCATAGCATGAAGACCAAAACCAAGATCCTTGTATAGTCGCAACAACTGGCTACAGCGTCACTTCAACCAGAGTAAATGAATTACATCCTTTCACATTGGATCTCAGAGTTCTAGACACGTATTCATCGTATATGACTCATACGCCACCAGTAGTCATCATTGATCTAGGATTGGCCCTTTTACTCTATTGTCACCTACATTTGTTTATTGATTAATTCATTATATCATACAATTATAGTGTTATTATTCACGAAAACTCAAGAAGAGTCCTTATATCCCTAATTTCTATATAGAATTATTCTCACATCAACATAACAGTTTCATTAATTATCCTATTTTTAATACATGCACTAATGGATATAATGTTTCATACATCTCATATTTATTACTGGGTTATAATTGCATTCATTATATTTCATGCTTTTTAATAATATAGTGAATAATCTTAAGATAAAAGAAATATTGAAACCAAGAAAAGAATGTCAGTCAATACTCACTTTAATCTCTGTGCTGTTAATATACAGAGGCAACCACAGAGCTCGTCGCCATGGAAGAGTGCTTAAATCACCTGAGTGTGTTCATTCTAAGGGTATGAAGCAGAGCAAATGATAACAAAATTAAAACCTTATCTCCATTGATTCTTGATTCCTGCTTTCTGCATTTCATTTATTAGGTCATGTAGTTATTTATTATTTGTTCACTATGTGTGTGTGTGTGTGTGTGTATATATATATTTATTTATCTTATGCAAAGGAATACTTCCATCACGGGACTAACCCAGAACAATAAAATCAACTCTTATCAATTTCTATATGATTCTTACCAAAAGTGGTAATCTTTTATCCATTTATTTTGTAAATGAATCTCAGTGCTTTAAATTTTGATTAATAACATTTCCTGCCTCCACACATATGTTCATATTGGACAATGCTTGACCCTCTTGTTCATTATACATTAATTTATTAGTTTAATGAATCTATCATTGAGCCATTGATAATAATAAATATCAATCTATGGAATCAATACATGGATATTATCTATATATTCCTGACATTTCTCTGTAACTCAATTTCAACAGACAGAACAGACTAATTATGTGTTGTGTTGGACCTCAGAGTTTCAGACACATGTTATTCATCGTCCATAACTCCAATGCCACCATTTGTCATCATTGGTCCATGATTGAGTCTCCTCTCCTTCATGTGTTCCTACATTTTTATCAATTAAATGATCATATTAATGACATTAATAAAAACAAATACATGGTTCAGACAAAGCCAACAACAAGGTTTTTGAATATCTATAACATCTACAGAGTCACTTTCAACATAGACTAGATCTCTTTCATTTATTGACCTCAATGTTGCACATGATAAATTAAACAACATACTGTTTCAGGTCATACTCATCATAGAGCTGTGGTTAACTGTGTATTAATTTGATACTTTTTAATTTTTGGATTGACAAATAAAATTGTATGTATTTATCATGCACAACATGATGTTCTGAAGTAATATACATTATGGAAAAACTAAATCTATCTAACTGACATATGTATTACATCTCATAGTTATCATTTTGTAGTGAGAATACTTAACAGCTACTCTCTAGCATTTTTCAAGAATATGATGTATAACATTAACTACAATCACCATGTTGTATAATATTTCTCTTGAGCGTATCTCTCCTCTCTAACTGAATAATTTAATACATTTTATAATAATACCAAGAATATCCTCAAACAAATTGTTGAAACCAAGATAAGAACTTTGACTATTATTCACCTTGGTCTCTTTCCAAACACGGAGGTAACACAACAGCCTTGATCCCAACAGATGGTTGAAACAGCTTGCTCCATCCATTCTGAAGAGTAGAAAGCACAGAAAAACATTGAGATATTCTCTCCATGGATCCACGTTGTTTACCAGTTGTTAGCACTGCCTTTTAGGCTTTTATTAATTTATGCTAATATTTATATATTTTTCACATAATAAACTTCAAAACTTGCAACTGAGAGCAAGAACTATTACCTATTACAGTCTGTGTCATCCTTAGTTCAAGACATAATATTCTTGATCAACTTATTACTCATTCCATTTCTATTAATATTCATTTTCCTGAAGTTTAGTAATAAACAATGCTTCACCCTCTTCATCTCTATTAATTTACACATTTGTTTATTTATTCTGTCCTTGATTCGTTTACAATAATATTTTTAAAATTCATGAACAAAAATATCAACAACAACATCCTCATAGATTCTGACATCTGTGCATAAGATCCCTTCGAAATGGGGAATGGATTAGATGCCATTTGTGTTGGACCTCAGAGTTCCAGACACATGGTATTCGTTATGCATGACTCACACCAGTCATCATCATTGATCCAGGATCTCTTTGATTTCACACTAATACAAATTTATCCATTGATTAATTCATTAATAATAAATACATATCAGTCAGAAAACACAAGAATAGTACTCATAAAGATTCCTAACATTCATCTACAGATTCATTTCCACAGACTAAATCTCTTCATTACTGTCTTCCATGGTAATGATCTTCTTTGATCCATATAATGACCAATCACTATAATACGTCTATCAATCTGATAGTAAAATTGAAATGTTTGCGACTCTTTGGTTATATTTAACACATTTTAATAACATAGGAAATATCTTTTTTAAAAAACTACACCAACAAAGACAGGAACATTGACTATTACTCATATTGGCCTTCATACTCCAAAACGAGATGCAACCAACCTGCTGGTGAGCAGGGATGAGAGACTGAATCACCTCTAAAGCATCTATTCTGAGGAGTACAGAGCAAAACAGATGATTAAAAAATGAGAAAATCCTCCATCGATCCTTGCTTATCATCTTCCATTTAGTCATTAATTCAGGCAATCATTACTTGGAGTATATTTATTTCCTTTTCTCTTAAAATGAACAATTTTGAACTTGCCACTGACCCAGAATAAAAACATTACCTAATTAATACTGTCCATATCATCCTTTGCCAAAATAAACCATTATGCACCATTTACTTCTCTTTGGATTTTGGTGTTTTCTACACATATTAACAAAATTCCTTGCCTCACTACAAATTTTTATAATTAGACAATGTTTCCCCCATTTTACCTTGATTCATTTATATATTTGTTTACTGATTCTTTCATTGACCCAGTCATAATAATAACATAAGAAAGAATGAACAAAAAGACCCAATTTCTTTTGTGAAGGACCTCAGAGTTCCAGACACATAATTCATCATGTATGACTCATACGCCACCAGTGGTCATCATCGATCCAGGATTGGGCCTCCTTTTCTCCATTCATTTCTATGTTGTCTGTTGACTTAATCATTAGTTCACTAACAATAAATCAAAACTCTATGATTCACAAAACCCCAAGAACAGCCTTGATATTCTTAATCTGTACATATTATCATCTCATCTCCATGTATCTCCTGCTTTAATTATCCTCAGCTTTTCACTCATGTATTAATCAATATAACGCTTCATATTTGTCATTTGTAACAGCGGGCCTTATGTGACTATATTTCATACTTTTTAGTAATGCAGTGAGTACCTTAAACCACCTAAACCACACCAAGAACTTTGACTATTACTCACATTGATCTCTAAGCTCTAACGCAGAGATGCAACCATAAAGCTGGTGGCCATGGAAGAATGCATAAATCACCTCGAGATTATCACTCTGAGGAGTACAAAAAAAAAGAAGATGATTTTTTTTTAATTAGATCTTCCTCCACTGATCCTTGCTGATTGAGGTGTTTTGTATGTTGGACCTCAGAGTTCTACACACGTATTATTCATCACCCAACACTCATACGCCGGCAAATGTCATCATCGGTCCAGGAAGGCCCACTTTCTCTTCATTCTTTACAACACTGTTTATTGATTAATTCATAAATTCACTGATAATATTTTTTAAAGCTGATGATTCACAAACCTCCAACAAAAGCATACCTATTTGTTAGGTATCCATCATTATTCACAAATCAGTATTTAAATTTTATTATTTATCCTCAGTTTTTCATATATGCATTAATCAGTATAATGATTCATGTTAATCCCAAATCAAGATGTTTACATTAGGCCTTTTGTGATTATATTTCACACTTTTTAAAATATAGTGAACATCCTTAAACAAACCACCCAAGCCATGACAAAAATTTTGACTCTTACTCACATTGGTCTCCAAGCTCTTAATAGAGATTCAGTCATACAGTCATAACCATGGGAGAATTCTTAAATCAGCTCAGATGGGTCCAGTGTGAGAAATACAGGACAGAACAGATGATTTTAAAACGAAGAAGGAGAACAGACATCTGAGACGTTCTCTCCACTGATCCTTGCTTTTCACCTTCAGTCAGTCATTTCAGTAATCACACATTTCGAGTATTTTTTTCTCTTAAGAAAATGAACAAATTTAAAATCGCCGTCTATCCAGAACATGAACAGTGTCTGTAACTTATACTATCTACACCATCCTGAGCTAAGGAGGTAAAAGTCATGTAAAATTATTTCAAATTAGAGTTCAGTGTTTTCATAATATACTAGTAGTGTTTCTTTGCTCACTACATATTTTTAATTTGAACAATACTTCATTAATTTACTTATTGATTGGTTATTTCATTGATCCAATTATAATACTAGAATGAAAATATATGAACCCAAAGATCAAGACCAAGACCCTTGGATATTCCCAACATGGGCCTAGAGGATGCCTTATATCAAGAATATGGACTATATGTCTTTTGTGTTGGACATCAAAGTCCAGACATGTTTAACTCATTGTATATGGCTCATGCCATCATTGGTCTCAATTTTCATATATTTCTACTTTTGTTTTGAATAAATCATTAATCAATTTATAAGAGTAAAATAAGAACATGATTCACAAAAACCTATGAACATGATGCCAGACATACCAAGCGTCTGTCTACACAATCCTTTCCACATTAGACAATGTCGCTTTCATTCATTCACCTCTCTGTGGCACATTATTGATTAATAAACATACTGTTCTATATTATGTTAACCATTGGGCCATGGTTAACTTTATAATAATTTAAAATTTTTAATAATACTGTGAATACCTTTAGTCAAGTACCCAAAGGAAGACCAAAATTTTGGCTATTACTCACGTTAGTTTCTTGCCAAACACAACAGCAACACAGCTTTCCATCAAGCAGAATGCTTAAGCCCACTTGATGCATTCATTCTGATCCATCTTCATACAAAGCAGAGAAGATGATAAAAGATTGAGAATTTCTCTCCACTGACTGACATGTTCCACTATTCGTTTGTGTCATCTTTTTGGTTTTTAAAAATTTATGGGGCCAGGCACAGTGGCTCACGCCTATAATCCCAGCACTTTGGGAGGCTGAGGTGGGTGGATCACCTGAGGTCAGGAGCTCAAGATCAGCCTGGCCAACATGGTGTGAAACCCCATCTGTACTAAAAATACAAAAATTAGTCAGGCGTAGTGGCTGTAATCCCAGCTACTTGGGAGTCTGAGACAGGGGAATCACTTGAACCTAGCAGGCTGAGGGTGCAGCAAGCCAAAAATGTGCCACTGCAGACCAACCTGGGTGACAAGAGCCAAACTCTGTCTAAAAGTAATAATAATAATAATAGTAATAATAATAATAATTTATAGAAATATCTGCTTTTCTCTCAATAAAATGAACTTCAAATGTGTAACTGACTGAGAGTAATAACTATTATTCATCACAGTTGATGTCATCTTTAGTCCAAGACATAATAAATTCCATCCATATATTATCTATTCTAACTTACACCAATAATCCATTTTCTTTATTACATATTTTAGCAATAAACAATGCTTCACTCTCTTCATTTCTATTTGTTTATACATTCATTTATTTATCCTGCCCTTGATTCTTTTAAAATAGTATTTTTTTAAATACTAACACAAAAATCCTGAAAAAGATCCTTGCATATCCTGATACCTGTCCATTGGATCCCTTCACAAAGGATGAATGGACTAAATCCCATTTGTGTTGGACCTCAGAGTTCTAGAAACATGGTATTCATGTGCATGACTCATACGCCACCAGTGGTCATCATTGGTCCAGATCAGCCCTCTTTCTCTATTCCCATCTAAATTTGTTTACTGATTAATGTATTAACAAAGAAATACACAGAAATCTGAAAAGAAAAATAAGAATTAGATTCTGAATATCCCTAACATCCATCTATATAATCCTTTCCACAGAGACCAAATTTCTTTCATTAACTGAGTTGTTGCATAAATGCATTACTCAGTATAATGCTTCATATCAATCTGATATTTAACATGGACAGACTTCCCTTATTTGATTATATTTAAAACTCTAAAATAATGCAGCAAATACCTTTCTAAAAACTGCTGGATTTGGTATAACAACATTAATTACTACTCACATTGGACTGTATGCTCCTAACACACAGAGGCAATCATAGAGATCATGACCATAGAAGAGTGCTTGAATCAACTCAAGTGCTTTCATTCTGAGGATCACAGAGCAGAGCAGATGATTTTAAAAGGTTGTAACATTCTTTCCACTGGTCCTTCAATTCCTCTTTTCAGGTATTCAGTCATACATAATTAGTAATTTGTAATAATGTTTATTTTTCTCCTATGTAGGTTAACAATGTCAATCTTGCCATTGACCCAGAAAATGAAGACAGATATTTACCTATTACTGTCTACATCATACTTAGCCAAAGATTTAACAATCATGTACCATTTATTTCTCTTTGAAGTTCAGAGTTTCCAGTATATATTAATATTATTTCTTGCCACATCATCTATTTTTATAATTGGACAATGCTTCACACGAGTCATCTTTATTTAGTTATATATTTGTTCATTGATTCTTTTATTGATCCAATTATAATAATAGAGTGAAAATACATGAGCAGAAAAAAACTGGCTTTCTTTTGTGTTGGACCTCAGAGTTCCAGACATGTATTATTCATCATCCAAGACTCATACACCAGTATTTATCATCATTGGTCCAGGAAGGGTCCACTTTCTCTTCATTCAGTTAGACATTATTTGTTGATTAATTCAGTAATTCATGTGTAATAGTTATAAAAATTTATGGTTCCCATAATTCAAGTCTATAATTGATATTCATTATATATATACACATTATCTGACTTTTTAAAATTTTCAATAACACAGTAAATATCCTTAAACAAACCACCCAAACAACACAAGATCGTGGCTATTACTCACACTGGAATCTTTCATAGCACGACAGCACCACAAGTCTTGATCAGGGCTAAATTCATAATCAGCTCAGTGCATCCATTCTGAAGAGTGCAAAGCAGAGAAGACAATCAAAATATTGAGACATTCTTTCCATCAATCCATACACCTCACCATTCATTTACATTGTCACTTTGGCTTTTATTAATTAACAGCAATAGTTATTAATAAAATAGACTTCAAGGCTGCAACTAATGGAAAGTAATAACTATAACCTATCACAATCTATGTTATTTTTGGTCCAAGACATAATACCTTTCATCCATGCCTATATTATCCATTCCAATTTAAATTAAAATCCATTTTTCTTAGTACGTATTTTAGTAATAAACAATGCTTCACCTCATCTTCTTCATTTACACACTGATTTATTCATCCTGCCCTTGATTCTTTTACAATGATATTTTTTAAATTCATGAGCACAAAGATCATGAGAAGATCCTTGTATATCCTGTATCTTGACATCTGTTTATAAGGGGGAATGGACAAGATCCCATTGTATTGGACCTCAGAGTTCCCAACACATGACATTCACTGTGCATGACTCACACACCACCAGTCACCATCACTGGTCCAGGATCAGCCCTCTTTCTCTATTACCATCTCAGTTTGTTTGTTGACTAATTCACTAACAAGGAAATACACATAAGTCTTCAAAAAGAGAATAAGATTCCTGAATATTCCTAGCATTCATTCATATAATCATTTCCACAAAGACCATATTTCTTTCATTAACTGAGCTCGATGTTTCACATATGCATTAATTAACCTAAAGTTTTAATCTAATTTTTAATCATTGCCTATTTCACCTTCTTTTATTGTGTTTAATACTTTTTAATAATATAGCAAATAACATTTTTAAATGGTCAAAACAAGAAGGAGCTTGACTATTACTCACATTGGTCTTCATGCTCCTAACATAGATGCAGCTGTAGAGCTTGTAACCATGGAATCGGCTGGCAAACATCCATCCTGAGGCCACAATGCAGAGCACATCACAAACAGATTAAACAGTCCTCCTTGATCTGTGTTTATCATCTTCCTTTTAGGAAGATATTTGAGAAATCATTATCTGAAGGATACTTATTTCATTTTCTCTTAAGAAAATGAACACCTTGTGCAACTTTCCTTGACCCTGAGGTTGACCATTATCTATAAATACCATCTGTATCATCCTTAGTCAAAGAAGTTACAGTGGTGTAACATTTATTTCTCTTGGCACTTCAGTGCTTTAATATAATATTTTAATATATTATTATATTTAATGTATATTAAATATTGCAATTATTATGCATTAATATTAGATATTTACTTGATATATTAAAGCTTTAATATAATGCTTTAATATAATAATAATAGTACATCTTGCCTCATCACTTATTTTATAATTGGACAATACTTCATCCCCTTCATATATGTACATGTATATGTATAAATTAGTTCATTGATCCAATTATAATAATACAATGAAGTGAACAAATCCAAAGACCAAAAGCAAACACATTGCATATTCATAGGATCATCTGAATCAGAAGGAATGGGCCAGATTTCTTTTGTGATGGACCTCAGAGTTCCAGATATGTATTCATCATATATAACTCATACACGACCAGTAGTCATCACTGACTCAGGGTCGATCGTTTTTTGCTATTCATTTCTACCTTGTCTATTGATTAAGTCATTCATTCACTAATAATACTTTCAAGGCCCATGATTCACAAAACTCAGTAACACTCTTGATATTCCACATCAGTATACAGAATCACTCAAACACTGGTGTGTTTCATTAACTATCCTGTTTTATGTATATGCATCATCAATATAATACTTCATGTCACTCCTGTGTCACTGGAATAACATTGGCCATCTTTGACTGTATTTCACGCTTTTAAATAATACGCTGATTACTCTTAAACAAACCACCCAAACCAAGGTAAGGACTTTGACTATTATTCACATTGGTCTGCACGCTGCTTCCTAAGCATGGTGCAAACAGAGTACGTGACCTCGGAGGCATCCTCAAATTAGAACAAGGACATCCATTCTGATGAGTACAGAGAAGATGATAACAAATTTGAGACATTGTCACCATTGATTCTTGCTTTTCACCTATAATTAGTCATTTATGCAATCATTATTTGGATTTCATATTAATTTCATTTTCTGTTAAGAAAATTTCATTTCATTAATCGTAGTAATTTCATTTTCTGTTAAGAAAATTAACAAATTCGATCTTGCTACTGGCCAAGAATTTGAACACTATCTATAATTATACTGGCTATATCATCATTGGCCAAAGAGGTGACAGGCATGTCCCATTTATTTCTCTTTGGACTCCATGTTTTCAATACATATGAAATGTTTCTTGCCTCACTACAGATTTTAATAATTGGGCAATGATTAACATTATTCATCTTTTTATGTAATATATAGAAATTATATATATATAGGTTCTCACATTGAACAACTATAAAAATACAATGAAAATAAGTAAAAACAAAGACCAAAAACAAATAAATTCTGTATCTCTGACATCTATATACATAGGATCATTTCAAACTACAGGAGGAGCTCAGTTTCTTTTGTGATGGACCTCAGAGTTCCAGACACGTATTCATCATGTAAGACTCATACGCCACCAGCAGTCATCATCGATCCAGGACTGATCATCTCCTTTTCCACTCATTTCTATCTTGTCTACTGACTGACTTGTTAACTCACTAATAAGTCCCTATGATTAAAAAAAAAAACAAGAATAACCTGGATATTCCATATATGTATGTAGAATCATTCTAACATTGATATAATTGTCCTCAGTTTTTCATCTATGCATTATCAATATAATACTTTACATAACTCTCATATCTATCTTTGGGATAACATTGGCCATCTTTGTATCATAAACTTTTTTTTTTTTTTTTTTGAGACGGAGTCTCACTCTGTTGCCCAGGCTGGAGTGCAATGACGCAATCTCAGCTCACTGCAACCTCCTCCTCCCGGGTTCAAGTGATTCTCCTCCCTCAGCCTCCTGAGTAACTGGAATTACAGGCCACCATACCCAGCTGATTTTTGTATTTTTAGTAGAGGCCGGGTTTCACCATGTTGGCCAAGCTGATCTAAACTCCTGACCTCAGGTGATTCACCCGCCTCGGCCTCCCAAAGAGCTTGGATTACAGGTGTGAGTCACCACGCTCAGCCTATTACAAACTTTTTTATAATACCTGACACACTCTTCAACAAACCACCAAGACAAGAACTTTGATCATTAATCACCTGGGTCCGTATGCTCCTTCCTAAGCATGGTGCAAACAGAGGACCATGGAAGAATTCTTAAAACAGTACAATTAGGTTCATTCTGAGGAGTACAGAGCAGAGAAGATGATAACAAATTTGAGACATTATCACCATTGATCTTTGCCTTTCACCTTTCATTTAGTTGGTCATTTAGGCAGTAATTATCTGGGTATATTTATTTCATTTTCTCTTAAGAAAATGAACAATTTTGAACTTGTCACTAACCAAAAAATTGAACATTGTCTATAATTATACTATCTATGTCATCACTGGCCAAAGAGGTGACAGGCATGTGCCATTTATTTCTCTTTGGACTTCACTGTTTTCAATACATATTAATAATATATCCTGCCATACCTGAACAATGCTTCATCTACCTTATCTTTATTTATATATTTGTTTATTGATTCTCACATTGATCCAATTATAAAAATAGAATGAAATTATCACAAAGAAAAACATTTCTGAAACATTTATGTAGCATCATTTGAAAGAGAGAATGGGCCATGTATCTTCCCCAACAGACCTCAGGGTTTCATATGCCACATAAGATTCATATGCCACATAAGATTCATACGCAACTAGTGGTCATCACATCATTGATCCAGGACTCGTTCTCTTTTTCTCCACTCACTTCCACATTATCCATTGATTAGTTAATTCATTCACTAATAATTTTAAAGCCCTATATTCACAAAACTCAAGGAGACCCTTGATATTTCTAGTCCGTATACAAAGTCATCTTACATCAATGTATCTCCTTTATTGTCTTCAGTTTTTCATATATCCATTAATTTATATAGTGCTTTATATCAATTTTGTCACTGCACAACAATTGGTCTTCTCTGATCATATTTCACCCTTTTCAATAATACAGTGAGTGAATAATACCCTTAAGCAAACAACCCACACCAAAATGCAAACTTTGATTATTACTCACATTGGTCTCCATGCTCCTAATGCCCCGTGGCAACCATAGGGCTTGTGACCATGGAAGCGTGCTTAAATCAGTTTAAGAGCATCCACTCTAGGATTACAAAGCAGAACATGTGATAAAAAAAAATCAAGACCTTATCTGCATTTATCCGTCCTTTCCAAATTTCATTTACTTATTTATTAATTTTTCATTATATATTTGTATTCTTTCTCTCTGTCGCAACAACAGGAACAATGTCAAACTTGCAGCCAACCCAGAAAATAACACTTGATTGACACGGAAAGACTCAATGTTTTATATACATCAAAGAACATAATGTCCATCAATCCCAACTTCATTGCTGGGGTGCATTTGGCCCTGTTTGATTATATTTCAAATGCCATTATAAAATGAACACCCTGAGATAAACCACGCAAACCGAGACAAAATGTGATTGTTACTCACATTGGTCTCCATGCTCCTACTGCAGACAGCTTCCACCTTTAGGAATACAAAGGAGAACCAGTGATTAAAAAATTGAGACATTCTCTCCATTGACAATGGCTTTCAAACTTTCATTTATTTAGTCACATAAATATTTACTAATTGATGTTATTATTTGTCTCTTCTAAAAATAGGACAGGATGGTGCTTGCCATTGATGCAGAACAATAACATTAACTGTTACTTCTCACTGTCTACACCAGTGGTCCCAAACGTTTTGGGCACCCAGGATGGGTTTTGTACAAGACAAACTTCCCATGGACCAGGCCAGGGAGGGGTTGTTTCCAGATGAAACTCTTCTACCTCAGATCATAGGACTTAGATTAGACCTAGATCCCTGGCATGCACCGTTCACAACAGGTTCTGCTCCTACGAGAATCTAATTTATGCCACTACTGATCTGACAAGAGGTGGAGCTCAGGTGGTAATGCTTGCTCGCCCGCCACTCACCTCCTGCTGTGTGGCCTGGTTCCTAACACGCCAGGCACTGGTACTGGTCTGCAGATATGATACTGTACCAAAGAGGTGACACTTATTTACTTATGGACCTTAGGACTTTCAAATTATATTAATAGTATTTCAGTCCTCACCTCATATTTCATAATTGGACAATGTTTCACCGTCTTCATCTTCACGCAGTTGTATAAACTTTGTCATTAATTGTTTTGTAACAATACAATCAAAATTCATAAACTACAAAAGCCCAAGAACATCACCTTCGTGCATAACTAATGATTCTACAGGACTACATCCATCAAAAATAACAGACTAGATCTCTGTCAAGGTACTAACCTCAGAGTTTCAGGCATGTATTTATTCATCATCTGTGACTAAATATGCCACCAGCCATCACCACTGGTTCAGGATTTGACATCTCTTTCTCATACATTTCTATATTTGTTGATTTATTAGTTCTTCAATAGAATAATTACAATAATATAAATGTGTATGAATCACAAATTCCATAGAACAATATTCTTAAATATCCATAACAATTGTCTACAGAGTAAATTCACTCAGTATCTATAACCTTCATTAATTGTGTTGTACATATCCATTAATGAACATACATTTCACATCAATGCCATAGTACACCATAATCAACTTCTTTGACTAACCTTAACATGTTTTGTAAATAGTACAGTGAGTATTTTTAAACAAGCCACTCATAATAAGAGAAGTGCTTTGACTCTTACATTGGTTCCTATGCTCCTAACACAGAGTTCATGACCACAGGAGAATGTGCTAGGAGCTTTCATTTCATTCTGAGAATCAGCTAGGAGCTTTCATTCTGAGAAATATAAGCAATGCAAATAATAGAAAGCTGAGATATTCTTTCCACTGATACATGCCTTCCCCATTTCATTTCCTCAGTCATTTAGATATTTATTATTTTATGGCATAATTTATTTTTTTCCCTCTGCAGTAAGTAACCACTTGAACTTGTCACAGACTCAAAGCAAGCACCCTGACTACTATACATCACTACCTTGCCTACTTATCCTTATCCCAAAATGTAACCCCTTTCATGCATTAAGGGGTTACATTTTGGGGTAAAGATATCATTATTTAATGAACTCCAGTGGTTCTACGTATATTAACAATAATTCTTGCCTCACCCCATATTTTCGTAGTTAGATACACTTCATTCTATTCATTTTTATGCATTGACATATTTGTTTATTCTTTCACTTATTGAATAACAACAAAATCAAAATCCATGAAGCACCAAGGACTGAGAACCTGTTTCCTGAATATCACTGAAATCTATCTGTAGGCATTCCTACAGATGTAAACACTTAAATCCCTCTTTGTAGTGGACCGCTGTAGGTCACAGATACTTTGATCATAAAACACATTTCAGAATGTATTGCACTCGCATTATCGGTCCTTCCTTGGCCTTTTCTCACATAATGTGTATATTCTTTCTATACATAACATGAATCAACCACCAGAACTAAAACACTGACAAGTGCTTCTAGTTCCCGTGTGTCCCTTCTTCATAACTTACATTTTTATCACTTGAGGAATGCTTAGGGAAACCTGCAGTAGAATTCTAAAACAGTTAGAACAATTTGTGATAGGGACTTGATCTTTTTTAGAAACCATCCTAAATAACACTAAATCAAATTAATCCTAAATTTTGGTTCTTCGTCGTTAGTATAGGCTTGTCCTTGTTTGATTTTATTCATGTATATAGTCATTTACTCATTTTAAAGATGTACAATGAACACCCATGAAAACCCACTCAACAGACAAAGACTGTGCCAATTCCATTGATTTCTAATCTCCTAAAATGTAGCAGTATCCTAGAAAGCCTGGTCTTTTCAGAATGCTTAAATCACCTAAGGTGCATCCATTTTGTACAACGATGATATTACATAAATTAGACATTTTCTCCATTGAGCCATGTTGTTCCCCTTTCATTTACTTAGACTTTTAAATATTAATTGGGCGGGGCACAGTGGCTCATGCCTGTAATTCCAGCATTTTGGGAGGCCAAGGTGGGCAGATCACTTGAGGTCAGGAGTTCAAGACCAACCTGACCAACATGGTGAAACCCTGTCTATACTAAAAATACAAAAATTAGCCAGACATAGTGGCACACGCCTGTAATCACAGCTACTCGGGAGGCGGAGGCATGAGAATTGCTTGAACCTGGGAGGCAGAGGTTGCAGTGAGCTGAGATCATGTCACTGTACTCCGGCCTGGGCAACAAACAGAGTGAAACTCCATCTCAAATATAAATAAATAAATAAATAAATATTAATTGCTTAATTAATTACCTTCTCTTTCTCAATAAAATAAACAAACTGGAAATTACCACTGACATAGAGCAAAGACTCTATGTATGAAATGTATTTCATACATTTTTCTCAGTGATTCTGAAAATACTTCTCAGGAGGCAGCGTCAGCATGACTTGGGAAACTATTGGAACCTATAGAAAGTAAGTTATTAGAAATTTGGATTCTCAGAACCCACACCAAACTTACTGAATCAGAAATCCTGGGAATGGGCCAGGCGCGGTGGCTCAAGCCTGTAATCCCAGCACTTTGGGAGGCCGAGATGGGTGGATCACGAGGTCAGGAGATCGAGACCATCCTGGCTAACACAGTGAAACCCCATCTCTACTAAAAATACAAAAAAAAATTTGCCGGGTGTGGTGGCAGGCGCCTGTAGTCCCAGCTACTCGGGAGGCTGAGGCAGGAGAATGGCGTGAACCCAGGAGGCGGAGCTTGCAGTGAGCCGAGATAGTGCCACTGCACTCCAGCCTGGGCGACAGAGCAAGACTCCGCCTCAAAAAAAAAAAAAAAAAAAAAAAAAGAAATCCTGGGAATGTAACTGGCCTTCTGTGTTTTTACAAACCCTCCAGGTCACTTCAAGGCTCACATTTGAGAACCACTACTCTATACTACCCTACCCTAGACAGGTGACACCCTTGATGTACTGGTTTCTTAATGCATTGCAGTGTTTCAGAATTATATAACCAAAAATTGCTGTCTGATAACATTTTTTGTAATTAATCCAGCTTTATCCTCTTCATCTTTAATTATTTATATGTGCGTCTGTATGTTTTGCTGATTCTTTCATTTATTTCCTTCGAATAATGCAATAAATTCCCAGGATCTACCAAAGCCGCATAATTAGATACTTGAAAATTACTGAAATCTACTATAGACTTATTCTCACAGATGTAATGCCCAAGTGTTCAATCTATGATCCAGTGTCCCCCTCACAGAAAACTTGTTTATACAGGCAGACACCCTGGAGGCTCTTGTCTGTGTCCAGTTTATTTCTACCAAGACAGGCACGCTCTAGGAGAGACCCAACCTGGAAATAAGTTAGGTCTGGGTCTGTTGGTCAGGTGAGACACAGAAGAAACAACTTAACAAATCACATGAAATAACAGGAGCAGTGTGCTACTCACAAGTCCCAGAGAACAGACGGCAGCATGCCTGGCAGGGCCAGTGGGCAGGGAGGACATTCATTAAATATACTTCAAACTTCTTAATAACACAGTGAGGAAGCAAACCACTTGAACCATAGCAAGAACTGTAACAGCTAATTACATTTTTTTTGGTTTTTGTTTGTTTGTTTTTGAGATGGAGTTTCACTCTTGTTGCCCAGGCTGGAGTGCAATGGCACAATCTCAGCTCACCGCAACCTCCGCCTCTCGGGTCCAAGAGGTTCTCCTGCCTCACCCTCCTGAGTAGCTGGGATTACAGGCATGTGCCACCACACCCAGCTAATTTTATAATTTTAGTAGAGATGGGGTTTCTCCATGTTGGTCAGGCTGGTCTTGAACTCCCAACCTCAGGTGATCCGCCCACCTGATCCTCCCAAAGTGCTAGGATTACAGGCATGAGCCACCATGCCTGGCCACATTGGTCTTTACTCCCCTGACAAAGTTAATAAAGACAATCACAATCATGATGTCCTTTCTGTGGAATATAGGATAGGTGTGAAAACCATGAGACCACTCCACTGACTTCATGCCATCCTCGTTTCATTTTCTAAGACACTGACATATGGATTAGCTAATATAATAATTACTTTCTTACTTTTAATTAAGCAAAAAACCTAGACTATCACTAATCCAATTCAAGAACCTTGACTATTATGTACATATTCCTAAATCATCCTTCAGATACTCTGTTTATTTTTTAATAAATATTAGTTTTCAGAATTACATTAACAAATTTTTTCCATCATAATCTATTTGGACAATTAGTCCAATTTTGTCCTTTTCCTCTTTATTCATTTATTTATGTGTTTATTGATGTTACCATTGATGCATAATAATCAACCCAACAAAACCCCATAAATCAGTTCTTGGATTATTACTGAAATATGTCTGCAGACAAATTCCTGTAGATTTAACATACCAAATCTCCTTTTTAAATAAATTGCAGGGATGCAGAAATGAATTTAATCATAAAACTGATCAATCAATCTATTCATATCACTGATTGGTGTTTGGCCTTTTCTTCATTTAATATGTACATACTTTTAAGATGGAACAATGAACAACCATCAATTCACCACTGCATTCACATCTAAAATCTTGATAATGACTTACGAAAACACAACCGCCTAAATTGTAAGCCTTGGATCTAACCCATAGATTGTTATCCATCAAGGAATGTTGCATAAACAGGAGTAAAACCTAAAATGGAATAATATATAGCCATGAAAAGAGAATGGAAAACACTGATCTCTTTTTAAATTGTGCGCCATTGTACTAAAATGGATTAAGCTATAATCCCTGCTTCAAAACACATCCTCATAAATAGTCCATGCTTAGCTTCCTCTCATTTCCTTACCTGTGTTTTGATTTATGTATTTATATAATGTTTTCAATTTACTAAAAGAAAAAACGAAAACAAGTATAAACTAAAAAGCTCCAGAAATAAAGACAATGAGTATTCACATATGTGTATATGCAGGTTACTGACTTGGGTCACAAGCTTTGTCTATTTTTACTAATGGATCATAACATTTGAGACATGTCATAATAATTCTTCTTCCAGTAAATACACTCAAAATGAGACCACACTTAGACATATTTATCTACATTAATTTACATGATGTTTTTGCATACTGATCCACTGATAATAAAATTAGTATGTGTTAACAATCCACCAAAGCCCCTAAACAAGTTTCTTGAATAGTCTTCATATCTGTCAGTGGGTTCATTTCCAAGAGAGGTAATAAACAATGTAATAGACTAGGTCTTTTTTTGTAATTAACTATAAAAATGTTGTGAAATATAATAATTATATACATTTGTCCAGATTTGATTTCAGTTATGTCATTGGTCCATGCTTGAACCTTTTTGTTTAAATTATATATTCTATGAAGATGTAACAATAAACCGGAAGAATAATCCACTATGGGTCTAATCCATAGACCCTACTATGATAATGACAAGTATTTACTTCATATATGCTCTTCCTCAGGGGGTTAACAGACTAGGCTATCTAGCAATATAGGAACGTTTGTGTAAACTATGAAAAATGCTAAAATGGGATATCAAAAATGTCCCATTTTTAGTTTATCCATAAAATGACTAAAATGACATCAATCTTTATCTTTTCAAAATTTTCCACAGTTGTACTGAATTAGATTAATTATAATCCTTAGTTTATAACAGATTCTCACCTTTTGTCTCCTTTGATTTTATTTAGGTATGTGGCCATTTATCTACCTTCTATAGTACTATGAATATCAATGAACAGGCAAACTACCCAATCAAAAACAAGAATGTCAACTATGACTTATATAAGAACGCACTCCTTGTCCGCTGTGGAACAGTCAATACCACCGTCGCTACAGGATGATCAATCACCCATGAACATCAACCCTGAGAAGTACAAAGTAAATGTTAAAGGTATGAAACAACAAGATTCAGGCTGTGTCTGAATAAATATGAAATGATAAGGGTTAGGTTCATCTCAAACATTGGTTCATGACACTCCCTATCCTTAAATTAGATTCACTCTCCTTTTATTTATTGAATTATTTCAGTTATTAATTTTACATCAAATAGTGAACATTCTTGAATCCATCACCTGCATTAAGAAAAACATCTGACTATGGGACATATTGGCCTCAGTGCCTCCACTCACACATATAATCGTCTTGGTATTCTCTGCAAGTTAGCTTCGACTTACAGAATCAGCTTCTTCTCATTCCTGGCTTTATAACACATTCTCATGAGTGGTCAGTTCTTGACCTTTTTATCTATTAACTCATTCATTATTAGTATAAATGAGTTTATAATTCAGGAACAAATGAATTAATTTTTCCAACCATCTATTCTTTTTCAAGAAAATGAGTAATATTTTCATTTTCAGAAATCTAGAACAGAAATGCCTAGCCGATCTTAATAAAACTAGTAAAATCCAAAAATTTGTTTCTAAATCAGAGCAACTTTATAGGGGACATACTTAGTCTATACTTGGTTCCATTTTCTTCATGTATTCATACATTTCTTTGGTTATTTGCACACTAACCAACTTATGAAGATATAATCGATAGCTATGAAACACAACCAGATCTTTGCTATTTCTTATATATATACATCAGTTACATCATAGGGAGCAAACTAGTTTTCATGTTGGACCTCAAAGTTCCAGACACAGGTATTTATTGTTCATGATTCATACATCACCAAACTTCATCTTTGGTCCAGACTTGGAGCTCTTTTTCTTCATTCATGTCTTCATTTATTGACAGATGAATTCATCAACTCACTAATAAAAATAAGTAAATACCAAAGAGTCAGAAGAACTCAAGAGCAAGATTCTTGAATATCTAATATCTGTCTACAAATTATTTCCCATAGACACTAGATATATTTTATTAATTTAACACAGTGTTTCACATACAGATTAATCAACATAATGCATTACACCAATTCCATTCTTAAGATATTAACTGATTATATGTCAAAGTGTATAATAACACAGTGATAGCTCTTAAAAAAACACTCAAACCAAGACAAGAATATTGACTCATACTCACATTGGTCTCCAGGAACCTACACAGAGGCAACCATATGTCTTTTGACTAAGAGAACTCTTAAATCAGCGCCAGTGCATCCCGTCTAAGAAGTACAAAGCAAAGCAGCTGATTTTCAAAACTAATACCTCTTTGTCAATTTTGCTTTCCATATTTTATTCCAAACCATAGTTTAGTTATTTATTAACTTTTCATAACATATATGTTCATTCTGAACAAAACAAACAACCTCAAATGGACTGATTCAAGCAATAAAATTGACTCCTACTTCCCAGCATCTATATGATCACTAATCAAAAAGAGGTAACACCCTTGGGTCCATTTCGTTCTGAGATGGAGTTTTGCTCTTCTTGCCCAGGCTGGAGTGCAATGGTGCAATCTTGGCTCACTGCAACCTCCACCTCCTGAGTTCAAGTGATTCTCCTGCCTCAGCCTCCCGAGTAGCTGGGATTACAGGCGTGCACCACCACGTCCGGCTAATTTTTTTGGATTTTTAGTAGAGACAGGATTTCACCACACTGGGAGCTAGTGTTTCATTTTATGTTGATAGTATATCTTGAATCATCACATGGTTGAAGTCCATCACACCATCTTCGTATTTGTCAAATTATATATTTAATACTTTCATCATGGATCAATTTTAAATAATAATAATATGTAAATCCATGAATCCAAAATAAAAGAAGTAGATTCTTACATATTCTTAACATCAATCTATCATTTCAAACATTGATCGCCGTTTGCAAATGACCCTGAGAAATAGATCAGATTTTGTTTTCTGCAAACCTTTAGGTTCCAGACACATATTATTCATCACCCACGACTTCTAAACCATCAATCATTGGTTCAAGTTTACATGTCTTTTTCCTCATACTACTTTATATTTGCTTATTGATTAATTCTCAATTCATCAAACATAATAAAATAATTATCTGTGAATCAAAAAATCTCAAAGAGATTCTTATATCCCTAACATCTATCTATGGAATCGCATCATTCATGTCATAGATGATCAATATATGTCTGGAACTCTGAGGTCCAAGAAGTTAACCTCTACTTGTATTTTTATCTGTTTATATTTATTTAATGGTTCTATCAGTCATATATTAGTAATAATAAACCTAAATCTATGACCCCAAGATAAGAAAATGATCTTTGTATGTTTCTGACATTGTCTACAGGATCATTTCCAACAGAAGCAAAAACCTAGATTATTTTCTTCTCATATTCATCATCCATGACTTTTATGCCACCAGTTGTCAACATTGATCCATAGCTGGGTCTCTCTTTCATCATTCATTTCTAAATATTTATTGAATAAATCATTTGTTCTTTGATAATAAAATGAATACAGGATTTCAAAAACCCAAGAACAAGATATTTGAAGAATCCTTACATTTGTCTACAGGATCATTTCCCACAGAGACTATATCTCTTTGATTAATTAACCTCAATGTCGCACGTTGTCATTGAACCAGTTAACTTTTTATTATATTAAATAATTTTTAATAACACCAGGAATACTATTAAACAACCTAAACCAAGACAGGAACCATTACTCACATTGGCCTAACACAGAGGCAACACAGCCTTGATCACAGAGAAATGATCAGCTCACTGCATCCATTCTGAAAACTGCAAAGCAGAGTAGATGATTAAAAAATTGAATATTCTTTCCATCAATCTATATTTTTCACCATTCATTTACATAGTCATTTGAGTATTTATTTTTTCTTAATACAACAAATGTGAAACTTGCAACTAACTCAGAGCACTAACCATTACTTATTGCTGTCTATATGATCCTTAGTCAAAGATGTATTACACTTGGTCCACTAATTATCCATCCATTTCAATTTATATTAGTATTATTGTTCTTTACTATACATCTCAACATTAAATAATACTCCACCTTCATCTGTATTAATTTATACATGTTTATTTTTCATTGCTATTTTAATAATATAATATTTTTATAATTCATAAACATAAAGAAAAAGAACAAGGTTCTTGTATTTCCCTGATATTTGTCTACAGGAGTTTTTCAGACAGAGGGACTAGGCTAGATACTGCTTGTGATGGACCTCAGAGTTCCAGATATGTATTCATTGTGTGACTCATAGGCCACCAGTGGTCATCATCAGTCCAGCCAGAATTGGCCCTGTTTCTCTCCTTTTATTTATAAGTAGTTTCCTAATGATTCATTAATTCACTAACAATAACATAAATACCTCTGGATCACCAAGTTTTAAGGACAAGATCCTTAAGTATCCCTAATATCTGTCTATATAATCATTTGCTTCAATTAGTGTATTAATAACTTCCTTCATTAGTCATGTTCATTAACATAACATCTGTTAATATACACAATATTTCATGTCAAGTCCGTATGTATCCGTGGGACATGGCTGGCCTTCCTTTATTACATTAATATACAATACTTTTAAAATATTACACTGAATATCCTAAACAAATAAGCAAAAGCAAAAAATAATTTTACTATTAACTCACACTGGCTCATGTGCACCTCTACAGAGGGAAGACATGGGGCTCCAGATCAAGGCCAGATGTTCTGCCAGCCCAGATGTGTCCATTCTGGGAAGTGCAAAGCAGAGAAGATGACGGGATTGAAATATTTTTCATGGATTCATTCATTCGACCCTTCTCTTAGGCATTCAGGTATCTATTAATTGTGGTAATACTTATCAATTTTCTTTTAAAAAAATGAACAATAGGCCGGGCACGGTGGCTCAAGCCTGTAATCCCAGCACTTTGGGAGGCCGAGACGGGCGGATCACGAGGTCAGGAGATCGAGACCATCCTGGCTAACACGATGAAACCCCGTCTCTACTAAAAAAATACAAAAAACTAGCCGGGCGAGGTGGCGTGCGCCTGTAGTCCCAGCTACTTGGGAGGCTGAGGCGGGAGAATGGCGTAAACCCGGGAGGCGGAGCTTGTAGTGAGCTGAGATCCGGCCACTGCACTCCAGCCTGGGCAAGAGCGCGAGACTCCGTCTCAAAAAAAAAAAAAAAAAAAAAAAAAAATGAACAATAACACACTTGTTCTGATGCAAAATAAGAAACGTGACTATACTGCCTTTGTCATCCTTAGTCAAAAAACAACACTTGAGTTGTTTGTTTTTTTAATGGTATTCAGATTTTCAATAGGTTTTAATGATTTCTGTTGTCTCATCATTTACATTGAGTGGACATGCTTCACATTCCGCATCTTTACTTTTTTATATGTGAACATTGATTATTACATCAATGAATTTATTTTAAAGAAGAATCAAAATTCACAAAAACAGTCAAGAAGATAGTCCTTTTGTATTTCCAAAACCTAACTACAGGATCACTTCAAAAGCAATAGACTATATTTCCTCCTCTATTGAACCTCAGAGTTCTAGACACACATTATTCAGCATCCTTGACTTCTACGTCACCAGTTTTCATCATTGGCTCAGGCTTAGAACTCTTTAGCTTAATTCTCATCTACATGTATTTACGCATTAAATCACTAATATTAATTTTATAACCCATGTAAATATAATATCCAAAGAGTAAGAGCATAGAATATTCTAGAACTTTCTATACAATCTGTCAGTTTGATGTATCTTACATGAATTATCCTCATGTGTCATAAATGAGCTAGTAAATATACTGTTTCAACTAACTTCATATTTATCATTGGCTGAGGTTGGCCTTTTGGATGATTTTTTACACTTTCATGATATTATGAATACCCTTTAAAAAGTCTCCTAGAGAAAGACATGAAATTTAACTATTACTCACACTGATCTCTATGCTCCTAACCAACAGTAGCAACCATGAATCTCATGACCATGAATGCTTAGGTCAGCTCAAGTGCATCCATTCTGTAGAATACAAAGAGCAGGTAATTTAAAAAAAATTCAAAACTTATCTCCATTGATCCTTTCCACATTTCCGTTATTCAGTTATTTTGATATTGATTATTTTTTCAGAATGGAAATGTTTTCTCTCATAACAAAAGGAAAAATATCAAATGAGACTGAATCAGAAAATGAAACTGACTCTTCTTATTAGAGTCTAGATGAACCTTAGCCAAAGAGGTGACATTCATGATCCATTTCCTTAAAGGGCATCAGTGTTCAAAATTTTTAATGACAATATTTCTTACATCATCATGTGTATTCATAATTGAACAATGATTCATTCTCTATTTACTAATTCTTGTTTAATTGTTCTATCATTTATCTATCGATGATAAATCTAAATCTATTAATCCAAAGTAAGAATATGATCTTTCCACATTTCTGATATCTACCCAATTATGTTTTCTGTTGGACCTCAGAGTTTCAGACACACAGTATTCATCGTCCATGACTCAAACGCCATCAGTAGTCATCATTGGTCCATGTTTGGGTCCCTTTTCTTCATTCGTTTCTACATTTGTTTGAATAAATCATTAATTCATTAATAATAACTAAATAGACATGTGATTTACAAAGTCCAAGACAAGATCCTTGAAAATCCCTAACATTAGTCTATGGAATCATTTCCCACACAGACTATATGTCTTTCATTAATTGACCTCTATATACATAATCAAAATAATATTTTGTATCATAGCTACAACTGGGTCATTTAGCTATTTAAGTATGTTTAACACTTTTTAAATTTAGTTTAACACTAACACCCTGAAACAAATGGCACAGAGCAAAGTAAGAACTTTGACTGTTACTCACATTGGTCTCTTTCCTAAGAAGGACATTTAATCTTGATCATAGAAGAATGCTTAAGTCAGCTCAGTGCATCCATTCTGAAGAGTGCAAGGCAGAGAAGATGAAAATATTGAGACATCCTCTCTATTGGTCCATATTTTCCACTGTTCATTTACACAGTTATTTATGTATTTATTAATTTTTCTCTTAATACAACAAATGTTAAACTTGCAACTGATTCAGAGCAATAACTATTACTTATCACTGACTATAGGATCTTTAGTGAAAGATGTAATATGCTGATCTACTTATTATCGATTTCAATTTATATTAGTACTATTTGTTCTTATACATTTTAACATCAAACAGTAATTTATGTCTCATCTTTATTTATACATGTTTATTGACTCTACCATTGCTACTTTAATTAAAATATTTTTTAGAATTAATAAACATAAAGACAAGAATAGGCCATAGTGTTCTCCTGATATCTGTCTATAGGAGCATCTAAACAGATGGGATGGAATGGACTAGATTCCTTTTGGTTTGCAACTCAGAGTTTCAGACATCTATTATTCATCACGCAAGATGCATACGCTGGCAGTTGTTACTATTGGTCCAGGAAGGACCACTTTCTCCTCATTCGTATATGCCATCCTCCAGCAAGCAGTAATACCTTTGACTCACTCATTCTTAATAGAAAGAAGACATCAGTGTTTTTAATATAAATGGATAGTATTTCTTATTTCACCATATATTTCCGTAATTGGACAATGCCTCATTCTTTTTGTCTTTCTGCAGTTAAAATATATTTGCTTATTGATTCATTGATCCAATTATAAAAATAGAGGGAAAATGCATGAACAAGAAGAACAAGAACAACATCCTCAAATATTCCTAATGTCTATCCTTAGGATCAGAAAGTGAAGACTAGATTTTTTATTATATTGGACCTCAGACTTCCAGACCTGTATTCATCGTCCATGACTCATACGCCACCAGTCATCATCATTGGTCCAAGATTGACTCCATCTTTCTTCATGTCTATCTACATTTGTTTTTTGATTAATTAATCAATTCATTAACAGTGCTGTAATAATAAAATAAATAGCTATGACGAGGGAAATCTTAAAAATAAATTTATGCTTAAGTAGTGAATAATAAAAATGCTTGACCTTATTTGATTACATTTTAGACTTCTTAAGAATACAGAGAATACCCTTAAAACAAAGCAAGAATTTTGACTACTACTCACAAGAGTCTTCCTGTGACACATAGAGGTAACCATACCGTTCATGGTCATAGCACAGTGCTTAAATCAGATGGGGCTGTTCATTCTGAGGAGTAGAAAGCAGACCAGATGATAAACATCGATAACTTGTCCTCACTCACTTTTGTATTACCCTTTCATTTTCACAATAGTTTAGGTATTTATTAATCTGTGATAATATCTGTATATTTTTCTTTTAATAAAATTAACGTTGAACTTGAACTCATCCAGAACAATAATATTGACTATTTCTTATATGCAGTGTCTTAAGACCCTTAGACAAAGAAATATCATGTTTGGTACATATATTTCTTGAGACTTCAGTGTTTTCCATTTATATTAGTAGTTTTTCTCGCCTAATCACATTTATTCATAGTTGAGCAATGCTTCGGTCTCCTTTTTTACCTGTTTATATGCATGTTTATTGGTTCTGTCACTGATCCCTTTATAATAATAAAATCAAAATTTACTAACAAAATCCTTGATATTAGACTTAAGAACTTAAGACAATTACTAACAGCAGCCTATATCCTTCCTACTCACATGGGTAGCCACCAAAACCTTCATCAGTGGAAAATGATTGGATCAGCCATCATGCCTCCATTCTGTGAAGTACAAACCAGATGTTAGAAAGAATGAAACCACTGTGATTTTTCTTTCTGTTTATGGATGTCATGTGTTACTGGATTAATTGAAACTCTTGATAGGTAACAGTTTTATCACTAGCTTATGATTGGCCTATTACTAGCTCAAAATTAAGTTTTAATAAACTTATAAGTACAATAAACCTCATTCCTAAATACAAGAAAAAGAACTATATAATGAATAGTTGTCTCTATGCCTCTCTGAAATAGATAACAATAATTTAGATTTACTTTTAAATGAACTGCATTTAAATGAAATTAACCTAAATGATTGTTTCATGGCACAGTTTCATCAATGGTCTACAGTATCCCTTGTTTAGGTATACATCAGTTTGTATACATCTGTATCTATGTATTTGTGTCTGTACTTCCTTATGGATTAATTAATCATCATTCACATTTCTAAAGAAAGTTAGCAGGTTAAGAAAACCAACAACTAAGAACTAAAATATAATGTTTGCCTCTGTCTACATGTAAAATACCCTAAGTGGACAGAGCCTTGAAATTCTTTCTATATCTGAACAACAGTTAAATAAAAAGGAACCCAGCCTTCTTAACAGTCAATGTTTGGCCCTGTAGTTTAGTTACTGGGTTAATCTTTTACTTATTTATTTAACAGCTTTTTTCTTTTAAATAAAATGAAAAACTATGAATTCACTCTATAACCTGAGCAAGAAAATTGACTATTACAAAAATTGCCTATATTCTCCTCATCCAAAGGGATAACATGCTTCATCAAGCCCTAGTGAAATTCAGTATTTCAGAAATATTTTTTGAAATAGCTAATTCACGCTGGGCTTAATACCTAGGTGATGGGTTGATAGGTGCAGCAAACCACCGTGGCACACATTTACCTAGGTAACAAACCTGCACATCCTGTACATGTACCCCAGAACTTAAAATAAAATTAAAATGTAAAAAAGAAACCAAAAATTATTGTTTCATTCTATATGCCCATACCAGATTCTTTTCTTCTTTCATTCTACATTAGGGCATTAATTCAATCATCATACACTTATAATAATATAATCAATATCCATCAAAACCTTAAAACTTAAACACCATGAGTACTGCCACATTGTCTGTGGGCTCATTTTCCACAAGATGAATAGACTGTCCCTCTTGGAAATGGACATTACTACTGCATATTTGAACTAATCTTAATCCTTGGTTCAACCCAACAAAAACTCACCATTGGTCCATATTTAGTATTCTTCATCATCATTCATTTACACATTATCTCATGTTTCATTGATTTACTAACAGCGTAATCAATTCCTATGAATCCCAAAAACCCAGTAACAAGAAATCAGACAACCATGACATCTCTTCATGGGTCATTTCTCACAGAGGAAGGAAGATAGATCCCTTTGTGTGATAGATTCAGTTTTTCAGATTAGCAGATTAATGACCATATCTGCTTCCTATTAATCCCATACTCTTAATTGGTCAAGGCTTGATCATCTTTCACTGACCTTGTCCCTATTTTAAGGATGTGACGATAAAGAACTATGAACCTACCATTTTACCCCACACTGACAATATCCTCCATCTTGGAATGTGACTAAGCTGTCCTTACAGAGGGAAGTTAAAATCAACTGTGACTCAAATAAAATTGAATAATTAATTTTTACATTAATTAACTCAATAATAAACTATTAAAATGAATAAGATAGTCTTGCTTTTTTCTCCTTAACTGACCACAGATGTGCTGAATGATTCACATATAAACTTTATTCATTTTATTTGCGTATGTAGTCATTTATTCCTTTCCAGTAAGAGTTAACTCTCTTAACAACCACTAAAGCAAAAGCAATCACTTTGTTACTTACATAGGTTTCTACACTCATTACTCAAACAGACAACAACCATGATCTTCCTCGCTGGAGAATAATTGAATCATTGCGCATCCATTCTGTGGAGTACAAGGTGAATATCAAAGTAGGTAGATGAGAGAGAGAGAAAAATGGATCAGCCTAGATTTAGATTTTTTTAAATTCAGTTCAGGTCGACAATTATTGATTAGAAATAAACCCTGGTACTTGTCATATGTTTAAAAGATGAATAACATACCCATTGATTCATTGATTAATTGACTTAGGTATGAAATTTAACTACTATAAGTAACACCAGGCAAAAGAATAATAACTGTGACTTTTAAACACGTCTGTCTGTTTATCTGCCTTCTACCCAATCAGGAAAGAGTTAAATCTCCTTGGTACATGAATCTTGCTAGAAAGAATTAAATTAATCTGAATCCTGAATTCGAATATATTCTGAACAACTGTGCATGGATGCATACATACATATGAAGTTAAATAGTTACACATGGAGTCATTTGTCTATTCCGTGTCTTAAGGAAATTGCACCAACAAGACTGAAAGGGAAATACTATCCAAATATATAAATATATTCACCATTACAAAAACGCAAGAGCCTACCTCAATTTTGTTTACGGAAATAACGACAATACTGGAGAGCCATTGTACGGAACTGGATTAATTACTCTTTTTGTTCCATAATACCTGGCCCTCACTGGTCCATGATTTGGCCTTATTTTAAATAACTGGCTGGGACATTAATTTGTGCCTTTTTACATTTATAATAAAATCATTATATCTGTGACTTCACAGAAACTGGACAATATCAATGCCTGTCCAAATGCTCATTAGACAGAAAATTCAGATCAGTTTCCTTGTTTTCATAAATTAAACTGAGGAACTGAACTTCAATAGTGAAGATTATTAGAATTCATTATAACTGATCATTTGACATATTCTCAAGACAGATCCATGTGTAAACCCTCTCTCAATTAGGTAGTGATTTAAATAATTTAAGTAAATACTTTGCCCTCTTCTTTTAAAAAACAAAAAATGAATACCCTAAACCAGAACAACATGGACTCTAACATCCATTTATCTAAATGCCCCTTATCCAAAGGGTCAGTTTTGATTAATTGATTTTACTGGGACTTAGTGCTTCAGAAATGTATTAGTAACGATTCTTATTATTTTATATAGTCTCATATTTGGAACAGGAATAACCATTTTGTTTTTATTTATACAGCACTTTTCTTGATTTATCCACATACTTGTTTACTAAAACTAATACAGTCCACACTCAGAAGTACAATAACTAAATCCTGATTATTGTTAGCTTCTGGAATAAGCTCATTTTCCATAGACTGAAAAGCACTCTTTTTGTAATGGACCTCAGAGTTACAGGGTTTAATCAAAATCCAAGATTCAGACACCCCAGGGTACTCATCATTGATCCAGGATAAGCAATCTTTTCCTTCATTTATACCTTTGCTTATTGATCCATTCATTGATTCAGTAGCAGTAACAAAGTCAATACCCATTGTTATTTTAGCATCTAAGAACAATATCCTTGAATATAACCAAGATCTGTTTACAGACTCTTTTTGCATAGACTAGCCCTTTTCTCAATAGACTAGATCGCCTTTCGTAGTGGCCCACAGTGAAGCAAGTATAGATCAATGAACATCCTTGCTTCCTAGCCATCTCATTCCACTTATCTTCCACCTTTCCATGCATTCCTTCCTCATTAAGGAGCTGTCTAACAGGACTTTGCATATAATGTAAATGCACTGTAACTGCATTCTCCAATACAGTCACCAATAGCCACATACAGCTACTGAGCACTGCAAATGTGGCTAATGCAACTGAGAAATTACATTTAAAAGTGCATGTACCTTTAATTATTTTAAATATAAATAGCCGCAAGTGGATAGAGTAAACGACATTGAACAGTGCAGCTGTAGATTTTGTTACTGAATAAATCTTAAATTAAATGCAGTATAAACAAGATGATTAATCAGAAGTAAAAAATGAATAAAATGTCTTTCATCTTATTTTTAACCAAAATTGTGTTTAATTGGACTAACCATAATCTAAGTTTTGTAACACATTCATATCACTGATCTACATATGCCTTGACTTTAAGTAATTCAGTGAACATTAATGAAAAATTTACCCTAATTGACAAGCTTTTTGACTGTTATTTACTTAAGTCTTTAGCTTCCTTACCCGTAAAGGTAACAGCCAAGATCTTCATCAGCAGAGACTGATTAAATCAGCCATGGTCTTCATTCTGTGGAGTCGAATACAAATTTTCAAAAGAATGAACAGTACAGATTTAGATTGACTTAAAAGACATTAGTTGTGTGATATTAAATTAATCATAAAGTTGACTCAAATCCCATTTTTATCACTGACCCAAGAACTACACTTATTTTTATTTCTTGATTTAACTATCAACTTTAAATAATACAATAAACACTGTTAAATCCATCACCCAAAACAAAAACTAGGACTACTGCCCACATCTGTCTATAGACACCTACCCACAAAGGCAACCGCTTAGATCATCTTTTTTATTTAATGGACTCAACGTGTGTAGAAATGAATGAATTTAAATTCATGATTCACGGCATATTTTCACCAATGGTAAATGCTTTACCCTACTTACATATTAATTCAATCATTTATTGTTTCGATTTGTTCATTTATGTTACGACGCATGGAATATTTTATTATACATTCACAAATACACACACACACTGCAGTAAATTCATGAAGACCCCAGAACACAAATGCTTTTCATGTTCAATGTCTATATTCCCCCACCTAACCAGGAAGAGAGCATCAGTAGTATAGACAAAGATTAACTTTCATTTTCATTTCTCACTCAGTTGTGTTATTTAAAAAATAAATAACACAACTTTAAAAAGTTTTAAAAAATTAACTGTCACAAGGACCTCTTTTAAAAAATTAACTGTCACAAGGACATATTCTATTCACATATAACAATTCAATATATAGGAATTTACTTACATTATAGAAGAAGCTTGAATAATATTATGTCTCCATATGTCCATTATGCTATCCACAGAGATTTAGAAACCAGATGCTTTTTTAAGTTTTTAATAAAACTTAGTACAGAGTTGGATTTATAATAACTTTTCATAAGGAATATTCTTAAGTTGAAATATGCTCATTTATTTCCAATTAAATAACTGTTTCACCTATTATTTACTTACTTATTTATTTTGAGATGGAGTCTCGCTCTGTCGCCCAGGCTGGAGTGCAGTGGCGCAATCTTGGCTCACTGCAAGCTCCGCCTTCCACGTTCACGCCATTCTCCTGCCTCAGCCTCCCAAGTACCTGGGACTACAGGTGCCCGCCACCACACCTGGCTAATTTTTTGTATTTTTAGTAGAGATGGGGCTTCACCACGTTAGCCAGAATGGTCTCGATCTCCTGACCTCGTGATCCTCCCTCCTCCACCTCCCAAAGTGCTGGGATTACAGGTGTGAGTCACCGTGCCCAGCAATTTTCCCTTCTCTAAATAAAACCAATCAGTAAACAACCATAAACATCAAACAATTATTTTGTGTCTTGCATACATCTGTTCACATACTCCTTCCAAAACAAGGCAACAGCCTCTATCAATATATATCACTGGAATTCAGTGCTATAGAAGCATATAATCATAATCCATTCGTCATTACATACTCTCATAATTGGTCAATGCCAAGCTCTCCTTATATTTACTCATTTATGCAAAAGTTATGCATTGATTTACTTATAAAATGGAATCTATACCAAAAAACTGTGAACACCCATGATCAAGATACCTGAATATTCTGAACTTGTATTATAAGCTCATTTCCCTAGAGGGAAAAATGGGGGCCTCTTTTTTAAATGGACCTCAGAGTTACAGATGGCTTTAATCAAAATTTTTGATTCAGACACCCTCCAATCTCATCACTGGTCCAGGCTTGGCACTCTTTTTCTTCATTCACATATACCTTCATTTTCCCATGAATCACAAATTCTAAGAACAAGACCCTGGATATCACTACAACATATCTCTAGGCTCAATTCCCACAAAGCTGTCAGACTAGATCTCAGTGCCACACGTGGAATAATCAATAAATCTTGATTCATATCAGTACTATCAATATCAATGGCCAATGACTGGGCTATGTTCATTTAATTTGCATAATTTTAAAGGTGGTATAATGAACAATGAAAATCCACAATGGTATCCCCCACTAGAACAAACAGCATGTTTCACCTTACAAGAGCTTCTCCTGAACAGTTAACAGCCTGAATCTCTTCCAGTATGGAATTCTTAAATCAAGTATGGTGTAGAAATACTATGAAATGTGAAACATTTCTGAAAATTAAATTCCTTCTACCTTTTTAAAAAATAAGTCTCTATTGTGCTGAAATGGGTCAGTTCTACTCCTTGGCCTACAACACATTCTTATTATTGGTTGTTACTTGATGTTTTTATTTTTGTGTATATGGCCTTTTGTTCCTTTCTTCGATAATCACACATGAACCAACCGCATAACCCACCAACAGAAACTCCATTACTAACATTGCTTCTTACCACAGAAGAAATCGTCATGCTCTTCACCTTGGAGAAATGACCAAATCCAATCTCATCTAGTCTTTCTGGAGGAAAAGGCAGATTTTTATAAGAATAAAAAGTATACATTTTTAAATCCATTTTTAAGTAGAAGTTAGTTCTCCATTACTAGATGGATTACAAACATTGGTTTGTGTCAAATTTTAATCATCAACCCAACAGTAGTTCTTTTTCATGTACTGACTTAATTCTTAGCATGAAATAATACCATGAACATTTTCAAATCTACCACCCAGCACAAGAAGAGCAATTTTCAATATCTGCCTAGGTATTCCCAGCATAAAGGGAAGACACATTTTTAATGAGGAAAACTTTTGTACTATAAGATGAATTTAAACTGTTGTTTTATAACATAATCTGACCAGTGGGCCACAGTTATTTTAATTCAAGCCATTTACAGATTCGTTTATTTACTCATCTATTTAATAACTCAAAAAATAATTTAATTATCTACTCTCTTTTCTAAAGAAAACTCAAAATGGTGAAGTCACCTGCTACCTAAAATTAAATACTATTACCTGCAACTGTTCCTATTAGCCCTGTATGTGCTGTTGGAACGTTCCTCAGTGACACAAATGTTCTCTATTGGCGATTCTGAAATGGTGGTCACTTGTGACCTGTGGCTTGGGGTGTGGCTAGTGCAATTGAGGAACTGAATTTTTATTTTTTAATTAATTTCCATTTAAATGTTAATAGCAAAATATGTCGAGAGAGTGGGTCTTTACAACCCTTCCAAAGGAAGGAGGGTCCTGGACCTTTTTTGTTTAAGTGGACTTCAAGAGGATAGACAAGATTAATCACACCCCTTCACACATTACATACGCTTCTCACTAGTCCGTGATCTACCCTCTTTTAAATAAGGGATGGAGATATAAAATGATTCTTTTACTCATAATAATAATGCCACTACTCATGAATTCAAAGGACACTGGACAAAAGCCCTTTACGACGCTAGCATCTATTTATTCACTTATTACTCATAAAAGTCATGAAAATGCATTTGCATTTTTCTTTTTAAATAATAATGAGCAAACATAAGAGGATTTTTAGTTATTACATTCAAATTTTCAATGTTCATCCTTAGACTTTCTCCACACTTCACAACCTAATCATTAGTATTTTAATGTCTATTATTAATTATATTAAATTATTGTTTATTATAAAAATTTAAGCTAATATATTTAACATGATTTGTAATTGTTATTATTGAATATAAATATTAATTTTATTGGCTAATATTTATTATGTTAACTATTATTCAACTGAATACGTCATTTAAGTATATGTTTTATCCTTTCCTAAATCAAACAAGACATGCAACCAGAAACTTGCCACTAACTCGGAACATTGAATGCATATCTATCTATATGCTCTCGAAGGAGGAGCAGATTTATTTTATTTAAACTCAAAACATCATTAGCTCCTTTCATGATTGAATGAGATGTAGCCTTCCTTGTCTTTATTTGTATTTCTCTTTATTCATTCATTGATTGACTTATAATACAATCCATTCCCATTAACCAAAAAGTACCAAGAACACATTCCTTGAATATGTCTAACTTTCTCTCAAAGCACATTTCCCATAGATAGAATGGACCTCAGAGATACAGACAGGGTATAATCAGAATATTTGATTCAGATGCCCCACGCATACTCATCATTGATCCAGACTTGGTATTCTGTGCTTTCATTCAAATATACTGTTTTTGATTTATGCATTGGTTCACTAATAGTAAAATCACTATCCATGAATTAGAGGGTAAAAAGATCCTTGAAGATGTAACTATGTCTGTAAGATTCATATTCCACAGAACTAGAGGACTGGCTCTCTCTGTAATGAGCCTGAGTGTTGCAAAGGTGAATTAATTCATTTCCACAAATTGCACCATGCCAATTCCATATTAGCCATTAGTCCATGGCTTGGCTTTTTTCATTTAACATTCATATTTTTAAGACGGTACTATGGTTATATCCTGGTATAACTACCAAGTTATACCACAGTTATAGGCAAGATTTTCCATTTTCTTATGTTCTTCCCTCAATTAGTTAACAGTCAACAACAATCACAATGGGGAAGTGTTTAAATCCACTATGGTACAAAAACAGCATATTAAGGCATTCTGAAAACGACAGAAATACCTTTCAACTTTTTGTCCTAATGAATTTGGTTGTGCTGAAATGGATTAATCACAATTCTTAATTCATAACACATTTCTACCATTGGTCCATGCATAACCACCTTTGACTCATTTATGTATGTAGCCATTTATTCCTTTGAAATAATTCAATGAATAAACATGATCAAGTTTCCCAAGCAAGAACATAAAGTTTGATTTTTGCTTACATTGATCTCTTCTCTGCTGATTCACAGAGATAAAGGCAAGATCTTCACTAGAAGATTATAATTAAATCAGGTAGAGTGCGTTCATTCTGCAGTATAAAACACAAATTTTAAAAAGAATCAAACACTATATGTTTAGCTCTTTAAAATGAATCATAGTTGTGTAGTAAACAATCATAAACCTTGTTTTGTACCCTATTCTGAACACTTGAGAAGGGTGAGCACTGCTTTCTATTTATTAACTTACATAAATTGTTTTTGTCAAGATGAAATATCTCCACTATGAAATTTTTTGTTTTAGACAATATAATAAACACTGTGAATCTAGTACCAAACCTGTTTGTTTGCTTAAGTAAAATTCCATAAAAGATTGAATTAATCATGAGTGTGGCTGTATAGAGATATCATCATTCCATGCTCTCCCTCTCTCAATTACAGTTACTCAGTCAACTATTTATTTATGTAAATGTATTTCCTTTTCCTTAATAAAATGATCAATCAGCAACCTGCCTCAACACAGAACAAAAACATTCAGTCTTGTGCACAGAAGACCATATGCTCCTTACCAAAATGATAAGAGTCTTAACTACTAATTTATTGGGACTAAGAATCTCAAAATTGTTTCAATAATAATCCATGTTGCATTACATGCCTTAAGAGACAAGTGCATGCATACTTTTCTTACTCTCATTGATAAAATTCTATACTCATGGACTAAGTTTATTATAATAATGTAATTCATACCCTCAAACCACAAAAGGCCCATGAACAAGGTCCTATAGACTCATTTCCCATGAAGAATAAAGAGGTGTCTCTTTGTAATGGACCTCAGAGTTGCAGATGGGTTTAATCAAAATTGTTGTTTCAGAAACCCCATGACATTCATCACTGGTCCATAATGTGCATTTTTTTCATGTATTGATTAACGTATTGACTCACAAATAATGATGCAATCAAAAATCCCCAAAACAAGATCATTAAATTTTAGGCTTTTGGCCCATAGAGCTACAGACTACATTTCTTAGGCAATGACACTTAAAGATGCACATGTGAATTGCTCAACGCCCCTGCATGCTCTCAATTCACATTCAGCATTCAATCTGATATAGCCCACTTCTATTTAATACGTATATATGTCGAAGATGGTCCGATAAAAAACAATGAAATCACTGTATTCCATATTCTTATGGGATGCCCCAAAACAGATGTCAGCCAGGATCTCTACCTATAAGGGAATGTGTAAAATAACCATGGCATAAAATAAAGAATAATGCTGAGCTGCTCTGAGAATAAGTTAACTTTTGTCTTCTTTTATAATCACCTCAGTTGTGACAATTTAGATTAAACATAATTAATGGTTCATTACACATTCCCATCATTGGTCTATTTGGGGTGTTTTATTTCTTTCATGTATGTAGACATTGATTCCTTTGAAATCCTTTAGCTAACACCCAAGAATGAACCATTCAAAGAAAGAACATGAAATAAGGCACTTACTTATATTTGTCTCTATGCTCCTTACTCAGGATAACAACTCTTTCTTAAATTATTAAATCAGCTAGCCTATGTCCACTCTGGAGAGAAAAAGGCAGATTTAGAATAGATATAGGGTTTTTTCAACGGATGTTAGACAAGCAGAACTAGATAACAATAAACCTTGGCTCAAAAATGCAATGTTTTTCAGGCCAGTATTGAACTTTTAGTTTTAAATAGTATAATAGACACTATTGAGTTCATCACCTAGCCCAAGAATAAGATCTATAATGATTATGAATATTTGTCTATATAAAAATCTGTTAAGTAGATATCACTTAATGGATTTCTGGCTGATGCAAACACTTTCCCTTTTCTTAATTAAAAAAAAAAAAGCAAACTATAAAAATCAAAAAATTGTCTCAACTGCAGATACAATATGTTCCATATAATAGGATTTTACCTCAGATTAATAAATATACTTGCTTTATTGCCAGTGTTAATATTTATAATACTTTTTCATTGTACTCAAAGAATAGTTCCTTAAGTAGGCCTGTTAATCTCTCATGTACACATTTCTCTATTTATGCATTGAATTCGCTTAAAATAATACATTCCATACCTTTGAACTACAAAACCTCAGGAACAAGTTTTACTGAATTTTCCTAACTTCTATTAGGAAATTTCTACAGAGAATATTGGCTGGTTCTCATTCAATAACAGATCTCAGGGTTACACAGAGGGCTTAATCAAAAGTGTTGATTCAGATACCTCCACCAATACTCATCATTGATCCAGGCTAGGCATTCTATTTCTTCATTCATTTATACCTTCTTGAACTGACTCAGTCATTCATAGTTTCAGGAATAACAATTATATGATCAATATTCCTTAATGACACAAAACTGAGAACAAAAGGCTCTAACAGAACCAAGATCTGTTTATTACTCCCATTCACGCAGAACAAACAGACTAGATCATATTTCGTGATGAACCTCAAGTTTACACATATTCATCAGCGACTCTGCTGCATTTAAATCTCATACTTGGGATTGGTGTCTACCAGCTTCTCTTCCACTTGATTTGTCTACTCATTAATGTGGGTGCAAACCATGCACCTACCATGTGAGCCCACAATTGAGCAAATTAATACATAATATCTTCCAAGGTACCTCTACCTCAAAAAGTCAACAACTTAAATGTTTGTCAGTGAAGGAATATGTTAAGCAACTATAGCAGAAACATTAAATGGGAATTGAAATTACTCTGGCAATATATGAAATGCTCTTCATTTATTTAACAATGCTCTTCAGTTGGGTTGGGTTGAATGAATCATAAATTTTTGTTAATGACAAATTACAATCATAAGTCCATGGCTGGCATTCCTTAATTTCATGTGTTATTTAGCCATTTATTTTATCAAAATAATGTAGTGTGTTCCCATGAATGAATACCCTCCAAGCCCAAAACATCAATTTGATGTTTACTTACATCAGTCATTCTGTTCCTTAGTCCACCAAATAACAATAATGGTCTTCATGATTAGAGAATAATAAAACCAGCTACATGGTTTTCATTCTACAGAGAAAAATAAAGCCTTGTTTCAAAAACATTTTAAAAGGCTCTTTTTAAAAGCCTCTTTTAAAAAACATTTTTCTAAGAAACTATATTACTACAACTTGGAAAGGCCCATATATGTATTCCTAAAACAATGAAAGAGCCTAGAGTTTTTCTTAGAATGTCTGTCATGAAAAAAGAACATGAATCATATTCTCATATCATAACATTTGTTCCTAATTGGTCCATGGTTTGCTGACTCTAAAATACAAACAGAGACATAGAAGTGAACCTTCCTTCTCATATACAAAAGACATCAGTATCTGTGCTCTCACAGCACTGGACAAGAACACTGAGGAATATTTACATCTGTCTAGAGTCATTGCCCTCAAGAAGAACAGATTATGTTTCTTTTTTTATTTGTTTAACAAAAATCCATTAAAAATTAGATTAATGCACTCATCATTGGTCTCTGTTTGGTCTCAATTAAGTGGTTATTTAACCAACTATTTATATGATTAAAGATGTTTCATTTTCTTAATAATACAGTCAGCAACCCCCTACCAACACAGAACAAAAACTCTGACTCTTGCATACAAATGACCATATGCTCCCTACCAGAATGGTAGAAGCCTTGGCTATTAATTTATTGGGAGTCTCAAATAAGTTTTAATAATAATCCATGTTTCATTACATTCACTGATAATAAGCACATGAATTATGCTTTTTGTTTTACTCATTGATAAATTTTTAATTCATGGGCTGATTTTATAACAAAAATGCAATCCATCCCCAAGAACCACAAAGCCCAAGGACAAGGTACCATAAGCTCACTTCCCAAAAAAGGAATAATTACGTGTCTCTTTGTAATGGACCTCAGAGTTGCATATGGGTTTAATCAAAAATCCTGTTTCAGATACCCCATGGTACTCATCATTGGTCCAAGCACGTTTTTCTTCCTTTATATCATTCATTTATTATTCATTGGTTCATGAATAATAATATAACCACAAAATTCTAGGAATAAGATCTTCCCATTAGTGGCTCTCTCCCTAAAGACTAGGTCTCCTTTTACAATGGACCTCAGAAAACGTGTGTGATTAATTGACATCCATGTTTCATACCAAATCCACATTCACCATTATTTCTTCCGTAGTCTTAGTCAATTTGCCCATGTTTTAAAGATAGTGCAATGAAAAGTGATAAAACCACCATCTTCCAACACTGACAATGTCTTCCATATTATCTCAGGCTGCCACACAAAGAGTTATCAGCCAGGACCATACCAATGTGGAAAAGATTAAATCATCTGTGGTAGAAAATAAGATACAATGTTCAATAATTGTGAATATAAATGGTCTAACTACTATATTTTTGTCACTTCAGTTGTGCCAAATTATATTAAACATATTTTCAGAACACATTTCCATCACTGGTCCATTCCTGGTGATTTTAATTTCTGTTATAGATATTGATTCCTTTGAAATACCACTAAACACTCCTGAACAAAGCATCCAAACCAAGGACATGAACTTGAGGTGGTAACTTACATTAGTATCTATATTCTTTACCCCACGGATCTAACTGCCAAGATTTTGTTTCTTAGAAAATGAATGTCATCTATCCTGTGGTTGCTACGTGGAAGAAAAGTAGACTTATCCTAGAAGAACAAGAAGAAATAAAAGACATCTTTATAGGAAAAAAAGAAGTGAGATTGTCTCTATTTGCTGGTGACATGATTTTATATACAGAAAATCCAAACTACCTCACAAAAAAACAGTTAGAACTGACTTCTGTAAAACTGCAGGATAGAAAATCAACAAAAAAAAAATTCAGTAATGACTCTATATGCTAATAGGTAATTAACTTAAAAGGAAATGAAGAAAATAAGCCCATTTACAATAGCACCAAAAATATTGTCTAAATTTAACCAAGATAGTGAAAGACCTGTATATTGAAAACTATAAAACACTAGTGAAAGAAATTGAAGAAAACACAAATAAATGGAAAGATACCCTGTGTTCATGGGTTGAAAGAACTAAGATTGTTAAAATGTCTATGCTACCTAAACCCATCTACAGGTTCAATTCAATTCTTATTAAAATTTGAATGTCATTTTTCATAGAAATAGGGGGAAAATCCTTAAATCCATATAGAACCACAAAAGACACTGACTAGCCACATACAAAAACTCTTGAGCAAAAAGAACAAAGCTGGAGGCATTGCAATCCCTCACTTCAAAATATATTATAAAGTTATTATAATCAAAACAGCATAATAGTGACATAAAAACAGATACATCAGCCAATGGAGCAGAATTAAAAGTTCATAAATAAACTCACACATTTACAATCAATTGATTTTAGATAAAGGTACCAAGAGCACACAATGGGAAAAAGACAGTATCTTCAATAAATGGTGTTAGGAAAACTGGTTATCAACATGCAGAATGAAATTAGATCCTTATCTCACCCAATATACAAAAATCAACTCAAAATGGATTAAAAACTTCAACATAAAATCTGAAACTATAAAACTACTAGAGGAAAAGCTCCACAACATTGGTCTAGACAATGATTTTTTTAATATGACCCCAAAAACACAGACAACAAAAGTAAAAATAGACAAGTAGAATGTCATCAAATTAAAAACCAAATTAAAATTGTTTCCAGCAAAGGAAACAATTAACAGAATGAAGAGACAACTTCCAAGTCGGGAAAAAAAATGTGCAAACCATACATCTCATAGGCATTAATATGCAAAATATATAAGGAACACAAACAATTCAATAGCAAGAAAACCCAATTTAAAAATAGACACAGGATTTGGACAGATATTTTCCCAAAGAAGACATACTAATGGCCAACAGATACATAAAAAAATTATCAGTCACTCTAATCACTAGGGAAACACAAATTAAAATCACAATGAGATACCATCTCTTATCTTTTAGAATGGCTTTCATCAAAAAAATGAAAGGTAACAAATGATGGCAAGGATGCAGAGAAAAGGGAACTCTTCTATATTGTTAGTAGGAATGTAGTTTAGTATAGCCATTGTGGAAAAAGTTATGGAGGTTCCTCAAAAATAAAAATAAAAATAGAACTACCATATGATCCAGAAACCCTACCCTAAGAAACCGAAATCAATATGTCAAGGGGATATCTGCATTCTTATGTTTATTGCACCATTATTCATGATAGGCAAGATATGGAACCAACTTAAGGTCCACCAAGGGATGAATGAACAAAGAAATTGTGGAATATACACACAATGGAATACTATTCATTCTTTTAAAAGAAGAAAATTCTGTCATTTGTGACAGTGTGGATGAACATGGAGGATATTACGCCGAGTGAAATAAGCCAGGCACACAAAGACAAATGCCACATATTCTCTGAGCTGAACTCATAGAAGTAGTGATTAGGATGATGGTTAAGGGAGGATGGGGTGAGAGTAAGGGAGGGAATGGGGAGTTGTTAATCACAGAGTACAAAGTCTCAGATAGACAGGAGGAATAAGTTTGACATCTACTGCAAAGCAGGATGACTACAGTCAATGAAACTGTGCTGGGTATTTCAAAATAAGAGAGTAAATTTCAAATGTCTCACAATAAAAATGATAAGCAAACAATAAAAATGATGGATATGTTAAATAGCTTGATTCAATCATTTCACATTGTACACCTATATCAAAACATCCCATTGTACCCCACAGATGTATACAATTATATTTTAACATTTAAAATAATATTAACATTAAATTTTAAAAAGAAAAGAAGATCTAAAATTATTAATCTAAGTCTCCACCTTAGAAAAAAGAGCAAATTAAATCTGAAGTAAGCAGAAGGAGGAAATAACAAAAACTAGAGCAGAAATCATTGAGACTAAAAAGAGAAAATCAGTAGAGAACGATCATCAATAACCAAAAAAAATGGGTTCTTTGGAAAGTTCAACAAAATCAAAAAGCCTCTAGACAGCTAACTAAGAAAAAAAAGAAAAGTCACAAATTGCTAATATTAGAAAGAAAGGACATCACTACAGACCCCATGGACATTAAGTGGATAATAAGGGAATAATATAAGCAACTCTATGCCCACAAATTTGATGACATTAAAGAAATGCACCAATTCCTTGAAAGATACAATCTGCCAAAACTCACACAAGAAAAACTATTTGAATAGGCCTATGTCTATTAAAACAAATTCAACCAACAGTTAACTCTCCAAAACAGAAAACACCAGATATGGATGGATTTACAGATTAATTCTTCCAAACACTTAAGAAGAAATTATACCAATTCAGTACTCTCTTTCAGAAGATAAACTACTTCCTAACTCATTCCCAAAGGCCTGTATTACCCAAATACCAAAACCATTAAAAAATATTCAAAGAAAAGAAAAACTACAGGCCAATATTTCTCATGAACATACCTGTCAAAATTCTCAAAAAATATTAACACCACAACCAAGTAGAATTTGTCACGGATATGCAAGCTTGGCTCAACATTTCAAAATCAGTTAATTAATCCATTACATCAACAGACAAAGGGAAAAATATCACAAGATCATATCAATAAATATAGAAAAGCATTTGACAAAATTCAACACTCATTCATGATTAAAAAATAAGGCCAGGCATGGTGGCTTACGCCTATAATCTCAATACTCGGGGAGATCAAGATGGGCGGATCACTTGAGGCCAGGAGTTTGAGACCAGCCTGGTCAACATGACAAAGCCCCGTCTCTACTAAAAATACAAAAATGAGTTGGGCATGGTGGCACATGCCTGTAATCCCAGCTACTTAGGAGGCTTGTACATGTACCTTCTGCTTAATTTTGCCGTGAACCGAAAATTACTCTAAAAAATATAAAGTCTCTGGCGTGGGGTGGTGGCTCACCCCTGTAATCCCAACACTTTGGGAGGTCCAGGCGGACAGATTGTCTGAGCTCAGGAGTTCAAGATGGTGAAACCCTGTCTCTACTAAAATACAAAAAATTAGCCGGGCGTGGCAGCATGTGCCTGTAATCCCAGCTACTCAGGAGGCTGAGGCAGAACGGCTTGAGTCCAGGAGGCAGAGGTTGCAGTGAGCCGAGATTGCACCACTGCACTACATCCTGGGCAATCTGACCTCAGGTGATCCGCACACCTCAGTCTCCCAAAATGCTGAGATTACAGGTGTGAGCCACAGTGCCCGGCCTAATTTGTCTGTATTTTAAATATGGCACAATAAATGACCACAAGCACACCATCTTACCCCACAATAGGAACACTGACAATATAAACCATTGTCTATGTGATGCCCTTAAACATTCAACAGGTTGGCCGGGCAAGGAGGCTCATGCCTGCAATCTCAGTACTTTGGGAGGCCAAAGCAGGCATATCATGAGGTCAAGAGATTGAGACCATCCTGGCCAACATGGTGAAACCCTGTCTCCACTAAAAATACAAAAATTGGCTGGGCATGTTGGCGGGTGTCTGTAGTCCTAGTTACTTGGGAGACAGGAGAATCGCTTGAACCTGGGAGGCGGAGATTGCAGTGATCCCCAGCATGGTGACAGACAGAGACTCCGTTTCAAAATATATATATGTGTGTGTGTGTGTGTGTGTGTGTGTGTGTGTGTGTGTGTCTGTGTGTGTGTGTGTGTATATATATGTTCAACAGATTAGGTCACTTGAGGAAATGTAATTTACCTGGGGTGCAAAAATAAAATGGAATAATCCTCAACTCTAAAAGTCATTTAAAAACTTCCTTATTTTCTTTAAGGTTCTCAGTTGTGTCGAATGGAAATAGAATTTTGTTTTTGTTTACAATCATTTCTACCACTGGGCAAAGCACAGAGCTTTTTTTTTTTGAGACGGAATCTCACTCTGTCGCCCAGGCTGGAGTGCAGTGGCGCCATCTCGGCACAGAGTTTTTTTACTTTATTTAAAAATGTGCCCATTTATTTCTCTAAAATAATAAAAAGCATGAACAACTCCCCACAAATAAAGACGATAAAAATTAACTTAAATCCATTCCTACACTTTTTACCCACAGAAGTAAGAGCCATAATTTTCACCACTGAAAAATAATTAAATCAGGTATGGTGCATCTATTGTGTAAAGTAAGAGCAGATTTAAGAAAGAACAGCCTACATGCATTTAAATCTTTCAAGGGGCATTTGTAGGACTGTACAAGATTAATTATAAACTCTCATTCACACCACATTGTAATCAGTGGCCAAAGAATGGCCTGGAATATTATTTACTGATTTATCTGGCACCCAACACAAGAATAAAAGCTATTACAAGTATCCATCTATGTGTTTTCTACCCAGATGGTAAAAGTCTAGAACCTTATTCCCAATAATGGATCTCATTTATACAATACAGAATTAGGTAAATTTAAACACTTTTTTATGGTAAAATTTCGCCAAAATAGTCCATGCTAGACTCTACTTTATGTATCTCTTTATTCATTTTTTGTTTCACTTATTCATTTAGTAAGCATTCATGAACAATTATGTTTTTTCAGAGAAAACACAGTATGATCAGCCCATCAACAACCCAGAATTGTAATACAATTAAATGCAACTATACACATGAACCTGACCCCGTATGGGAAAAGCCTAGTTTTAGGTCTTTTGTTTTGCTTTTTTTTTTTTTACCCAAACATCAG